TACCTTTCCTCTCCGTCACCGCGCATTACATTGACTCCCCAGCCGGGAAACCTCACGAGTGGGAATTGAAGACAGAGCAACTTGCATTCACCATCATCAACGGCAATCACAGCGGGAGCAACATCGGAAGAATCCTGATTCAAACTATCAATAACTATGGCATCCGCACTAAGGTTGGATGGTTTACGGCTGACAATGCTACAAATAACGACACAGCAATTCAGACCGTTGCTCTTGCTATCGACCCTTCCGGCAAGAAATGGATTGCTGGTGAGCACCGCGTGCGGTAAGTGAACTATTTAATATCGTGATCTATATATGTTGATGTCTATTCAGCTGTATGGAGCACGCCTTGCACTTAGCCGCCAAACACTTTGTCGAGGAGGTCGCACCTACACCAGCAAGCGTTCTCCTCAAGAACATGGCCGATGAAGACGAAGACGAAGAATCAACTGATTTCGAGGTTGCCGACACTGCAGGAAAAGCCCTTGCGCTTGTTACGCAGGTATGTGTGTACCCTCGTCTGGCTAACACTATTTAATGAACCCTTTTTTTAGATTCGGAAATCTCCCCAAGCACGCACCTTCTTCCAACAGTGCTGTGTCGAGGTCAACGAGCCGAAGCTGGAGCTTTTGAAATGGATTCGCACGCGATGGGCCTCGCTCTTTGGTATGTTGGAGCGCACCCTTAAGCTACGCAAAGTCCGTTGGTTTCTATTACCATCCCTATGCACAATACTAACTCAATTTTATCTGCTGGCAGGGGGTGAATAGATTCATACAACTGGCGGATGACAGTGACGAAGTCCCAAAGTTGCAGGGCAAGTCATATGGAGTGTTCAAGCTTTCAGCCGAAGAATGGAAGAAGTTGGAACTGATGCATGACGTGCTTCAGGTATGTGCGAGTGTCCAGTCGAGTCTCAAATGTTGTATTAACCTACTGTATAACCAGGAACCTGCCAATGCTCAACAATCGTTTTCGGCCACTCGCGAACCTACCGTATGGCGCGCGATTCCAGTCCTCGAGTATCTCCAACAAACTTGGCAAAACATGGCTGGTTCGTCAAAGTTTGATGACTTTTCATCCGCGATCAACTCTGGCCTCGACAATATTCGCAAATGGTACCACAAAATCGACGAAACTGATGTTTATTTCGTTTGCCTCGGTATGTATTTTATTTATTATGATGCCCTATCTAATGTACAATGTAGCGCTCGATCCTAACTATAAGGTGGCATATGCGAAGGGTAAATGGGAGCCTCGCGACTTTGACGAGGGCATGAGAAGCTTGCGGAAGGTTTTCGACAAATATTATCATTGCAATGTCTCGCCCGCCACTGCAGAGCCAGCTGCTGTGGCTCCTTCCTTGCTTGCTCGCCAGGGGTCATACGGCCATAGCTGGATGCGCGATGCTGTCAAAACTCGTGTTGCAAATGACACCGCAAATCGAAGACCTCATCAGGAGCTCGACGAGTACCTTGCTGCCCCATTAGAAGATGTTGAGAATATAGTGGCGTGGTGGGGCGTGAGTTTTTTCGCATCGTGTTTCCTTGCAAGTTGACTTAAAATGCCTTTAGCACCATTCCATTCAATATCCCACCATCTCTCGCATTGCAAAGGATTACCTCGCTATTCAAGGCTCTGCCGTCGCATCTGAACGAGCGTTTTCGAGTGGCGGCATCACTGGGACCACGCGCCGTAATCGGTTGTTGCCAACAACATTTGAGGCCCTACAGCTGTTGAAAAGTGGGTACCGTCAAGGCCATATTTCCGCAACGGTTCAAGCTGAGTTTGCTGCTGCTCACGAACACTCTGCCATGGACGAAATTTAGCTACTCATTTACTGTTCATGTATTTCTTGCAATTTTTGTCAATTTATATGTAGCGTTCGAGCGTTCGAACGCGTTCTGAACTCAAACCGAACGCTTGTGAACGCGTTCATCAGCGTCCGGTCCAGCGTTCGTCCTCCTTGCCTGAACGCGACCGATGGTTCAGTTCGGCGTTCGCATTTAGAGGCCTAAGAACCGAACCGAACCGGACTTCGGCACCACTAGACCGGGGCAGGGCTCATAACCTATTGAGAGTATAGTGAGACGGTCACGCGCAGCTAGACACAAAGGTACGAATATCTCAGTATTCGAGTTGAAACTCAGATTAACAAACGTTGTACCTAGACACAAAGGTACGAATCTAATATAACTAGTGATGTGCATGGCCCGGCTTTGGGCCGTGGGCCAGCCAAAGCCGGCCCCCATTGAGCCGGGCCTAGCCAAGCCAAATTCACGGCTTGCGTAGGGCTTGGGCCTGGCCCATGATTTTGCGAAGCCTAAGCCGGCGGCCCAGGCCAGGGCTTTTAGGGTAGTATTATGTACTATGTATTGCGTTTCCATCTATTTTTGCATTCGTCTTCTGCGTCGCCCTGCCATCGCTGGTACGCTGATTTCAGACTTTATCTTGACACTGTCGAGGCAAAACTGCCTTCCGGAACAAGCATGGTCAAATGGTGGGGGGTACATATATAATATTTCATTCTAGTTCGTCTGTCATTACTGATGTACTTCATGGTAGATGAACGCACACAGATACGGACCAGTGTGGTCCTCCATCGCTCAGGACTATCTGTCCATTATGGCGACATCTGTTTCGAGCGAACGCGCATTCTCACAGGGGGGTATCACTATCAGTAAGCGCCGTAATCGCCTCAAATGCGATATCATCGAGGCGCTGCAATGTGTTAAGTGCGCCATTCGTCATGACCTCCTTTTCCGCCCACCTGGTCCATCATCATCCACTGAACTCAAAGCCGACGAATTTGATGTTGAGCCGGATGCTAATGACAGCATGACGAGTGAGGGTGACGACGAAGATGGTTGGGATGTCTTGCTGCTGGTGGATGACGAGGACGACATAGATATCATTTGATTTTTGTTTTATCTAGTACCTATCAATCATCAATGTCATTTGCTACTCATTTTCATACACAGGCCGTGGCTCAGGCCGGGCCGGGCCAGAGCCAAGCCCTTGTCGAGGGCTTTGGCCTGGCTTGTGATTTCTGAAAGCCCAAGCCGTCTGAAGCCAGGCCGAAGCCGGGGCTTGCGAGCCAAGCCGGGCCGGAACATCACTAAATATAATGTTAGACCTCGAGTCGAACGTTACGAAAATACTAACTTACATCTCAGTATTCGAGTTGAAACTGAGATGTTTGGATGCGGGTACCTAGGCTTATAAGGTGAGTCTCCCAGGTACAGTAATTTACGCTAAGCTAAACTAAAAGATGGACAGCGCACGAGTTGGCCACGACACGTCGACCTCATTCTCCGTTTGGATGCGCTCGCACTTGGTGTCCTCTCCTCTGGCTCTATTCTTCGGCCGGTTGGTCCATCTCCCTCTCGGCTCTTCCTCCTTCGGCCTTCTCTCCTTCGGATTCGTCGGATCTCAACACTATTTTCTTTTCCTCCCTCTCTGGACCCTTCGAGCCTGTGGAGCACATCAACGTTTAACGGGTCTATTTGTCACATCTGAGTTCACAAGGAGAATATGTCGGATGACGCACCTGAACGGCTATAGCAGGGTATGAGGTCCCCAAAACTCAGCAGCGGACCCGGCCGATCTGGATAATTTTGATTCTCTGTCTTGTTGGGATAGAAGAAGATGAATATATGTTTGATTAATTTTTAAAAGATGGTTATAACAAGTTTACTCCGTATTTCAAAGTACTCACAAAGGCCATGATACAATTTACAAGAGCGCGATAATAAGGGTTTCTTCTCGAGCCCAGAGGAGACAAAACCTTAATAAAATAAATTTATTACTGCCTATGGACAATTACAGTGTACGACGTCTAATTCTGTCAGGATGAACACTGTTAGAACATCAATTATTATGACAGATCTAAAATGAAATATACCTAAGTTATATGGACAGTGTAACAGTTGAGGTGGTGAGGTCTGACGCGGCATGTGCTACTTGTGACGCGGCATGAATGAAGTTTGACGCGGCGTGACGCGCGGGTGACGCGGCAGTGACGAGGTTTGACGCGGCGTGACACGCATCTGACGCAGCACTGACGCGGCATGGAGGAGGTTTGACGCGGCATTGACGCGGCACTGTAGTAGGCCTTGACGCGGCATAGAGTGTGGATGTTGATATCAGTACAGAGACTGCGAAGATATTTGGGAGAACTTGTCGTGGTTTGAGTGGTGCTTGATGCAGCCTAAACGAGGCTTCTGACATGCCATGGTTGGGGCTTGACGTGGTGGTGTAGGGTATAGAGAGTGGATCGAACTTGGCAGGGTGAGATCGAGGGTTGACGCAGTGAGACAACATTTGACACTGCGTCTGAAAACCAACATAGATGAACGAATTAAATATAGGACTGACGCGCAAGATACATACTAGTAGTATGAACGCAGAGGGCAAGCACTGTAAATTTGGTGAGAGGTGAATACAGCACTATGGAGCCTGTACGCAGGCAGACACTCATATGTTGATCATTAACGATGATTCAAAGTGTTTGGAATGCGATATGAAGTTGTGCAAACATGATCTGTACATAGGAATTTGTTACAGTGCCGCGTCACAGGCGCGTCACGACCGCGGCAGGCGCGGCAGGGCCGCGTCAATTTCACCTGGCCCCAAGACGGCCACCAGCTGTTCTCACATTCAGAAATTCATCGCTCTCCAACGTCTTCACTGCCAACTTCTCGGGAACACCGAAATCTCATTTAGACTTCAGTACGGATAAACTGTCTTTACAAGGGGGCCTGTTCTTCAAATCACTGTCAGCTAGTGATGTGCAAGGCCCGGCTTGAAGCCCTGGGCCGGCCCAAGCCGGGCCCAAATAGGCCGGGCCTAGCCCAGGCCTAAGTCACGGCCTGAGCAGGGCGTAGGCCTGGGCTTGAATTTAGAAAAGCCTAAGCCGGCGGCCCAAGCCGCGGCTTTGGTACATAGAGTATATGACACCTTGTCACGTCAGTGGTCACGCCCCACAAGTATGTGTTTGGCATTTTCTCATTACTGACTCTTACTATGACGCGATTCTAGAACTCGTAAAGGCGCAGCAGGATCTAACAGGTAAGTCTCATCTCAGTATCTTGGTCAGAACTCTTTATTGACGACGTATGTACCTAACAGGTAAGTCTCCTACGTCGCATCAGTACGGCTACTCGAAGTGTAAAGTAAAAGCTAACTCACGTCTCAGTATCTTGGTCAGAACTGAGACGCTCGGGTGGCTGGATGCTGCCTTTTATACGGTAAGTCCTTTTCTAATCTATATTGAAACGAAACATTGATACTTGGAAGATTTCGGCCCCAACGTCACATCTCTCGTCCCTGCGCCTCTTTTCCCTTGCGCTCGGACGATCTATTCACCATGTCGTTCCTCGCCTTCGGTCTCATCGGCAACGTTCGACTCGGAGGGTTTGGACGTCGACAGCGATTCCTCTCAACTTCAACTACATACGCACGTCTGATCTCCTTTCGTCCTGGGATGAGCGACGCTCGACGGAGACTTCAATGGGCGTCATCTCGCGTCACCACATTGCAAGAAGTCGTCGCGTATTCATTATTTGGTATCTTCAGTGTCCATGTCCACCTACAGACATCACCATCCTCGACTGGGTCGGACAACCTTCCAAGTTCAACAGCTGTCTTCCGGCCTATATCACTTCTTACGCCACTCCTCCACACACCCTTCCATCCCTGTCCGAACGTTCTCCTCCTTGTCTTCTTCCCTTCACCTGCTCTCGTCCATCGTCCGTATTCGTCTGAGCCACGTCAGCAGTTGCTGACGTGTGCTGGGTGTTTGCGCATGGTGTTCGTGGTGTTGGGAACAGCATGGTGGAGCTCGGACATCGGTTTGGGCCGCGGCTTGCACGGGCCTAAGCCCCAGCTTTGGGCCGGCTTGGGCTCACGGCTCAGGCTTGAAATCTGCATCAGGAAAAAGGGAAAAAGTCTTAGCCATCTTACCTCACTTACAGAGACTTAATTCGACGTTAAGTTCACTAAGTTGTCAAAGCAAATCATTTCAACTTAATTTCTGCTTGGAGGATTGTTCACAAAGGAAACACAATAATAGTAAGTAATGAATGGCCAAAATTCAGCACGGAGGCTGCAGAAAAGCGTGTTCAAGTAAGAAGTTTATTTATAAGTAATCAACACCATGCTGCGATGTAACTAAGTCAATAGGCGCTATGCGAAGTACTTCCTAAGCCGACAAAGTATATAATATGTAGTCCTAATGGTAGCATTATCCAGCCAATAAGAATAAGTCAGTATCAAGTCACCAGGCAATCTCAAATGCCTGATGGTCAATGTATTTATTTACATAGTAAGTGCGGAAAGCATCAAGGGTCTGTGTGTAAGAGAGATAAGTAGGTACAAATTCATGCCCAAATACAGGCATAAGGTGTGCTGCACGAAAAATGCAGTCAAGGTGAATGACAGAGGCAAATCGTGTCCCATCCTCGCGGGTTTCAGGCTCTACTACCCACATTCCTGTGTTCTCATCTGGTGAGTCGTGCACGTGTTTGAACCAATGCACAAATGCACAAGGGTAATGTACACCATTGTGTTTAAATGAAAAGAAAAGCCTTACTTGAGCGATATCGAAGCCACGCATACCCTCGACAGTGGGATCAGTACTAATGAAAACACAGTCATATCGACCAGGGCCGTTCCTCCAGGTATCCACGGCACGAATTCGCTCGTAGCGCATACCGCCGATGCCTGAGACATCACTGGGAGCGAAGAAGGTGGCAATGGCAGATGTATACAGAGTTATTTTTTCATGTAGTTCGGGAAGGGCACTGGACGAGCCAGCGCCAGACTCGGAGGCTTCTGAGTTGGAGTCAGAACAATGGAGCTGGTCATGTAAAAATTGCTGAATATGAGTGGTGAGTTCCGGTTCACCAATTTGATCTGCGAGGAGGTCTGCGTAGATCCGTTTTGCTAAAAATTTGTTGTAAGTAAAAAGCACGCCAGGTAAATGTACTACTCCACTCACCAGATTTCTTCGCCAAGTCTACATGAGCTATCACCGTCGGTCCAGCAACAGCGTCACCCTCGAGCTCAGCATCTTGGTCTGCATCAGCCTCCAAGTCGGCATTCACGTGATTGTTGCGTCCGAGATGGGGAATGTCAATCGGCTCGTCCTCGAGCCGGACTTGAATGGCTTCTGCATTGTGCACTGGAGCGTTTAGCCCTGTGTGTGATTTGTGTTAGTAATATTAGTGGTCAAATGCTAGTAGACGTACCGAGTTTATCAAGGATATATGATAGACATGTTCCTGTTAGCATCCCACGGCTAGCAAAGTCAATACGAGACGCCGCTAACTTATCTAGACGTTGATTTGTCAGTAACATCTGATTGAGGGCTTCGAACCGACTGGACCGTCGCCACGGCTCCTTGACAGCCTTGATATGTTTAGATTCCGTGATGGAAGAACAGAGTCCGTTTGGTGCGCCAAACGATCGGATCATTTTGTGGTAGTGGATAAGCGAGTGTTGTCGAGGGAGGTTGAATCCATTAGGGCGAACACCAGATGTTTCAAATATTTCGCGGTGCCTGTGGAAACGCTCGAGTGCATCATCCAACGCATTGAGGCTGTTGGAGTCGATGATATTGCGCCGCGCGATGTACACAAAATCAATTAATGCTTGCAAAGTCAGCACCATCTCCGGAGGTACGTGGCCTTCAATCGCAGGTATATACACCTATAGTAGTAAGAATACACGTTAGTCAACACTACTCGTGATGATGGAACACCCGTTCATCGACTCGAACGTACCTTCATAAGTGCTTTTGAATCATCTCCCGTCCACTGTTTGAAGCCCCTTCCCTCCGGGAATCGTCGAAGGCCCGCAAATGAGGGAGCAAGAGCAATACTAGTTGTAGAGTGCGTCAATACCAGTCATTGCAACCCAGCATGTTGAAAATTGGACTTACCGGTGATCAATATCATCTAATATTATATTCGCCTCGTTTTCCGAGTACCGAGCCTTAATGTATTTGTGGACCCAGGTGACGATATGGTCCTTGAACGCACCCTTTATCAGCTGATGTAAAATGTCGGGGGAGAGGAGTTCGTGAATGTCGGCTCGCGGGAAATAGTTAGTGAATGGCTGTAGAACACATAGTATATTGTAATTTGTCAGCTCGCACAATGACTACAATAATGAAGGTACAAACCACGATGTCTCCTACAAGTCCATATTCGTCCCATAGCACACCTAACTCGAATTCCTCCACCAAGACTTCGGTATGGTCGCGGGAACGCCGACCATAGGTACCATTGTCAAGACCATCAGCCGGAGCAGTACATCTGGATGGATGTGTAGTAAGTAGACAGTACTAGCATAACATGAAGAAATACATACTTTGGGCACCAGTTTTGAACGATGCAAGCGAGCAATGCTTGCTCGGGATAATCGGCGATATATGGTCCAAGGCCATACACCGCACGTCGAAAATGACCATCGGGGGAGCGTACAACCTCGGGTGTTGTCATACCTGGTTTGAGGGATTCCAGCATCTTCGCCAGCGATGAGTGGAGAAGCTGACGGCGGAATTTTCGAAAGTGTGCGTCTTTGGCGGACTCCTTGTCAGCTAAATATATGCATCTAATTAGCGCCAGCAACAGACAACATCAAATTGAAACACGTACTTGTCGGGATGGCTAGGAAGCCCAGCAATACAACACCGTTGCGGTGTGCACGTCGCACGTTGTTGCGGATGTTGCCGATCGACATATAAACTGGCCAGTACTGGTTGTGTCCAGTAGCGACGGAGACAGTAGTCTTGTCGCTGCCAAGGATTATTGGAACGAACATAGATCCAATTGTATTGGGATCCTCGGCAATCAAATCCTGTGAATTGTGAGAGATGAGAAAATTGGAAAAAGGATGAAAAATGGCTTACGGCCTGCTTCCAACACCAATCACCGGACATAAAGTCCTGAAAGCGATGTGCTCCGTTGCTGGTATCATACTCCTGTAGCGGAGCGTAGTCGAATTCGCCTTCGAAGTCTGGGTTGGAGAGAATGTTGTGCACGAGGATCCGAGGATCTCGGAACCACACATCATACTCGGATGTCATCCATGTCGGAATGTCACCTTCAGGTAGAGCACCATTATATTCAGAGCTAAAACTCTGCCAGGCGACGTCACCTAGAGGCGTCGAATCAATGACGTTGTACATCTCAACGTGGTTTGCGAAGGGCGGTGTTTCGCCATGAGCCGCTAATGAGGCGGCCCACAGGTTGAATATAAAGTCAATATCGCCCCCTGACATCTGGTTGCGACGGTAGAGGAAGTCTGCGACTTCGAATTCGACTCGATTAGCATATGGTGTCCAGTTGTCTGGTCCACGATTTGATGGACGCGGAGGTGGCGGAGTATTCGGTGGTATGTCATCTCCGTGTTCGTCGCAAATTCTCCCTTCATATGGAGAAGAGTATACAGTGAGCACAAGTTTGGATGAGCGTCAAGTGAAATTAACACGCACCATTGATATTAGGATGATATGTTCTGGTAACACCAGGAACTTGAAGAGGAACACTACCATCTCGACTCGCCTGGCCAATGGAACCAGCACCACTTGAAGGGCGTTGATCTGAGCTGTTCATACCTGCCTCATTGGCAGCATCATCATGAAAGCCATACCCACGTCCATCCGGCTCTGGCAAGTCAAACTCCATTTGATCGTCGCGACTCCCAGGTGCTTCAAGTTGTTCGTCACCTGCACTAGTCTGAGTTGGGCTGCGTGAATGCATGCGTGCTGAGCTTGTTGCAGCATGTCCGGTGCCAGGTCGGGATGACTGGGAACGTCGTGAACTCGACTCGGAGGAGGAATGGTGTGATGACGGGATGTCGGGTTCTTCAGATGCCAGTGGATGCTGGGATTGCATATGAGTGGTGCGCCCTGACCTGTTGTAAAAACGGCGGATACAGCCCGTCACTAGGCATGGTAGCGTGGGTTGAGGGCGGCCAAGGTTGTGTATATTGTGCGCACGAAGGTTGCCATTGGCCCGCATCATAAGATAGTGCCGATGGTATTGTAGACTCGAATGGGGCCCATGAGTCTGGCGTCGGAGGTGTAACTTCGAGTTGACTTTATACAAGGCCTGGTAAATGCGCAGGAGAACATCATGCATGCGAGTACTTACAAGTAGCCAATGGTAACATGATCTGCCCAGGGTTGATGCAAGGTGCGCCCATGAATAACTTCCAGCCACACAACACGATGTGTTCAGGGTTGATGCAAGGCGCGCCCATGAATAACTTCCAGCCACCGCCGAGAGCATGATGGAATGCGTTTGACATGCGAAGATGATCACCTATCTTGATGAGAGGAAGGCCAAGAGCATGACGGAATGCGTTTGACATGTGAAGGCCACAGACATGAGACTCCCCCCCCCCTCTCAAGTCTAAACACACACAAGGTGCGCCTGATCCTTCCAATCTTCTGAAGCAGGGAGTTGCGGCAAACATAGCATCTATAACACAGCAGTCAGCGCACCGCAGTTACCAACCGGACATTAAACGGAAACCTCACCATTCAAGTTAAGCATATCACAATCGTCCACCTTGATGAGAGGAAGGCCAAGAGCATGACGGAATGCGTTTGACATGCGAAGGCCACAGAAGTGAGACTCCCCCCCCCTCAAGTCTAAACACACACAAGGTGCGCCTGATCCTTCCAATCTTCTGAGGCAGGGAGTCGCGGCAAACATAGTAGCATCTATAATACAGCAGTCAGCGCACCACAGTTTACTAGGAGCTAGAGGAAACATTACTGGTACTAGGATGTTGGTCACCAATGAAGATTTGAATTGTTGGTACCGATGTTGATAGTCGGTGATTGTCGTCTCCTTCAAGCCCTGGCAAGTTCGGAAAGAATTCGACATCGATAAGTAGAAATATATGGTCGAAGGCGTGGAGATATGAAGGAATGGAACTCGGGCACTCAGGCCGAAGAGCGTGCTGTTGAGGCGTGGCAAATTAGCAAGTCAAATTACATTGAAGTCCCGATTCGAACATCTTACTTGTAAACGCGTCTTCTTGATAAAGCCTTTGTGTCCTGCAAGCTCGCCCCCATCTACTCCTGCTATGTCTACTCGACGTGTCACCCGTGCAAAAAATGCAACTCAGCATCCGGGTATCCCAGACATAACCCCGAAGAAGAAACGCCGTACTGCAGAAGAAGTAGCTGCTGAGCGTCAGTCTAAGTTAGATGCTAAAGAAGAGAAAGAACGCACCAAGAGAGCTAGCATCAAACGTGTTGCTAAATATGAGAAGAACCAGGCGGACCAGGATGTGGTGACCGATGCTACACCGCGGGCTGCGCCGCCCAAGCCAAAGCCAATCCCAAGCAAGAGGAAGGCTGTTGTGGCGCCTCCTGCTACCAAGAAGAAGGTTACGCCTCCCGCTACCAAGAAGGTTACGCCTCCTTCAGATGCCGAGATGAGTGATGCACAAGCTGCACCTTCGGTACCAAGGCCAAGGCCAAAGCCAATTCCTCGCAAGCAGAAGGTAATTGTACAGACTCCCGCTGCGGAGGACAACGGGTTTCTGTCGGATGCTGAGATGGATGATGTGGCTGCTGAGATGGATGATGCGGCTGCTGATAGTAGCGCCTTCAACCCCGATCCAACCCAACATTCAGGCACGGTGACCTCGGACATAGACGCAGATGGGTCTGATAGTGCAATGCCGTCGTCGCCACCCAGGAAAAAGACGAAAGTTAGCGGGAAGAAGGCAGGGAAGGTGACGAAGAGTTCTGTACGAGATGCTATCAAAGCGGTCCAGCAAACTCATATGTCAGGGAAGAGTAAGGCTGCAGATAGGAAGAAAACCGCACCTCACAGCACAATCAGCCTCAATTCCGACGACTCGAACGACTCAGACGACTCGGACATCCTTGTTGTCGACGCAACGCCGAAGAAAGCTCCCAGCAAACAGCCAGCATCTGTTCAGCAGGATGACGATGCTATGGTCGTTGATCGGCCTTCAACGAAGGCATCTAAGAAGGCCACCAGTAAAAAATCAGCACAGTCAGTTCCGGCTGCTCGCTTGAACAACGACTCGGACGAACCTATCACCAGTCACCCTCCGGGAAGGCAGCCACCTCAGTGGACCATGCCCATCTTGAGTGAATATGACCGCGGTGCTACTCCTATGGCTGGGGCTCCAGGTCGTGTTGATAAGAAGGACAAAGGGAAGCAGAAGCAGAAGAAGGAGAAGGAGGGTAAGGGGAAGGGGAAGGCAGATCTGGCAGATGATAAGAAGATCAGCGTTAGCCGTCAAGCACGTTCTGATGAGAAACGGATTCCGCCGAGTTCGAAAAGGTAAGCCCTTTTCTTCTTACCCTTTATCATGCTTGAGCTCACTCTCGACGAAACAACTCTATATTACTTTTTCCTCAGTGACTCGACTCCCAATGGCAAGGACTTTTCCACTGGCATTAACGATTGGGCAGCAAGCATCCCGAAAAATGCAAAGCCCACTAAGGCCACCACCAGCCAGCCCAGCATATTCAAAAATAGCACAAGTTCACGCCGCCTTCCCCCCCTGACCAATGCCAGCACTCGCTCATCCACCAATTCGGTGTTGACAGCAAACGTGTTGATTTCTCACGCTATCCCCATCACGCAGGAACCGAAAGAGCAAGATACTCTGCAACTCCATGATGGACTCGGAGGACTCTCAGATGAAGATGAGACCCAGGGTCTCGAACGAGAGGCCGCAGTTGCTAGCCCTCCCAAAGGGAAAAAACGAGTTTCAAGTTCGGTAAGTGTCTTCTTATTTTTTTAACATTAAAGTCAGTTGTTGACCTTATAATATAACCGCATCATATTGTACAGGCTCTCGTCAAGGATTCGCCTGGCAAGCCCCCAGCTCGTCAAGCCGAGCGCACGAAGAAACCTGGCAACAACGATCTCCCGGATGGTGTTGAACAAAAGCTTTGGCGCCGTGTCTTTGTTTCTACTTACATGCAATACGTTGCAACTCTGGCTAACCCCTGGGAGGTTCCCCCCAAGTTGGCCTGCCAGAAATTGCAGGTGATCTGGGACGCAATTTTCCCCAACATCTCGTGCACAGTCACAAGCACGAGCACCGTGTATCTCATAGTAAGTCTGTTCATATGTTTCAATGGCAATACTAACTTCAACCTGGTACTATAGACTGTCCAGCGTGTTGCTGACTCCTATCGAAGCTTCATCGGCTCAGCAGCCATTGCAATCGTCATCGCATACCTCGAGTCCCAGGACACACTCAAGCACTCCGATGATAATCGTGTCGAATTCGCTACTTACGCGCTGGACAAGCTTCGCTTCTTGTACAAGAAGGCAAACGGTGATGATAAATCTGTACGTGCTTCTCACTATCTCTATTCATTGCCTCTGTTATTGTCGCTGTGCCACTAGTACTAACATGCAATACAGAAGTTCCGCGGCCTTTATCAAGGTGCCTTCGTGGTGCAAACATTTGGCGCCCACTTCACTGCTATCAACGGCGCTCGCAAGATACATGGACTACTAGACAAGCCGGAAGAAGACTTGAATCCTGCTGGGGGTCTAGCACTGTCATGTGCTGCGGTAATATATTTTTATTTTATTTTCTAATCACACCTCGCTGATCACTCATTGCTACTACTAGGTTGAACGAGCATTGACGCTTATCGCTACTCGTACCATAACCATCGAAATGGTTCTCGCTGCCAAGGGCAAATCTATACCCTTGCCGAAGACGCTCAATCACTCAACCGGCAAAGTCTCCAATCGCCAAACGGGCTTCAATGACGTCACCTGGGGTTCTTCCACGCGCTCATATGTGAAGTCGATCGTGAAAAGCCTCCGAGAGGAGAAGTTCCAAGCCATCATCACTTCTGCGAAGGAATTTTCCAAGAAGAGCCATCGTTCTGGCAACGATAGAGCCGTCGATGACGCTGTGGATGATGAAGACTTCGACGAACGCGCCCAGCTCGTGGACATCTCGGAGTCCGAGTCTGGGTCCGAAGACTCGGATGGCTCTGACGTGGAGTAGTAACATTTGTTCTTGTCATTCTGCCGGTGGTTTGCTTGCCAGTGCTGTATTCACTTACTGACCTGATTCAACTCTGGCAGTTCTTATGATCACGCTTATTTCCTTCGCTTGGCCGTCTTCATTCGCATTTTGTCTTAGTCACCACTTGAATTGATGCTTTTCCTGACCGCTTTGTCTTGATCACGATCTTAATGGTATACATCCGACTTGAACAGTTTTGTGAGTGCTTGAATTGTTCACTTACCTATCAACTGTGTAGAACTTGGGAGTCTTAACTTGAAAGATATGCTTGGATGTTTTTTGCATGGTATGAATACACATGATTCTCACCGCTTTATTGTCTGAATTCTACACTTACCGTTGATTTTGTAACCTTGGGAGCCTTAAAGACAAAATATAAATATATACTTGGACCTATGTGGCTGCTTAGAGCTGAATCCCTCTACTTCTGGTCTGCTTATTTTGACTTAGCTTACAATGTGTCTTTGAGAGAATCTGACATGACGAGTCACACTTGATGTCATTGCTTAACTGTGTACTTATGTCAAGCGCTGATAAGTGTAACAATAAGTCATATTCATCGGAAGACCCTACTTGTTTTAAGCAATGACATACTTAGCAGAATTCTACTGAATCTTACTTAGAATCACCTTCAAGTCACCATAAGTGTTGTTAAGAAAAATTCCCTTTTTCCTGATGTGGTGAGCCTAAGCCCCCCCAGGCCGAGCCTAAGCCGGGGCTTTGAGCCCAAGCCGGGCCGGAACATCACTACCAGTGTCAGCGTTAGTCATAGAGTACATCGACGCCAGGAGACCTCGCCTTCGCATCGTCGAACGCATCCAAAGAATAGTTGTTCGTACTTCGCGGTTTCACTGGCAGAAACGTAAGTCATAGCTTCTACAGCTGGGAAAATAGCCACCATGGAATCCATTCTGACACCATCAATGATTTTGAAGGGCTACGGAGAATGGATTAAATATATGTCCTATTTTCCAAACGGTCAGCGAATGATCAGCGGATAGATCTGATGATTGTTCGGAGATTGAGGCAGCGCAGTAGGTTCGCGAGAGGATGGTGTGGCCCGGGTAGTGGCAGTATCAAGGGATGGTCAATGGGTTGTCGCTGGTGGTGGAGATTTGGAGAGTGCCGAGCTGAAAGCCTGTGAAGTTGAAACTGGGATTGTACGATCATTTGAAGGACACTAATGGGAGATCACCTGCATTGATATCTCCATGGACAACACGTTGCTTGTGAGTAGATTAGACGATGGAACAATGCGGATATGGAACTTGGATATCTAGATACCGGTAAACTTTCAAGAGCGTCGATTTGGTGGGAACAGTTCGAAGAAGCTTGCAACGATCGATCATCGATGATCGGTGGGGCCCCATGTGCCTTGAAATTTGAAATCTGGGATGTTCGATCAGGATCTGTTATCCTGAATTTGAATTTGTTCGCTATAGTCATGCGGACTGGGCGCTTCAGCAATAGCATAGCACAAGGTACCCAAATCTAATGTGCACCACAATTACCGTAGAGCAACGATGGCGCGATCAGATTTGCTGCTCTAGTGTTCTTCCTTGTTCCTCAGGATACCTTAAAACTCGTCCTTCACAGACGTTTCTCATCGAACACAGCTAACAATATGATTCTTTGATCGATACAACGTGTGGATATCAATTATTCGAAAGCAAGTATTAATTAGAAGTCCTCCGGGCCCACGAAGTTCTGCTTGATGCTTTTCGCCGAAACGGACCGGTAGAATATGGTTGTCGTTAGTCCCACTCGCTGGTCCAAAGAGTTGTTGACCCACAACCGTGCCAGCGCATTCCTCGTTGTAATAGACGTTGCCAACAGCGTTGCGTAGTTCGTTTGCGAGAGTCAGAAGGGCTTTGTAGTCTGTGGCAAAGCTGGAGAAGAGATGGTCAGTCAAGGCATATCGCAGAGACCTTAAGTGCGACTCTCATAGAGCCAGTCAGTGCATAAGGCGAGGCGTTATCGATGAGTTCCAGAGTCTTCTCATAATTCGCGTCGTCGTATACATAAACCTGAAAAAATGTTAGTACATCTGGGCGCATTTTCGAACAAAAAACCATTACAGAGATGACAAGACCAAAGATGTCTTCTTTCATGGTGATTGATTCGAGATCTTTGGTTAGAATGATGGTAGGCTGTATGAAGTAGCCCTTGGAGTCATCACCTGTAGGATCATGAGAAAAGTCGCAGGTGAGTCATACTATCTGCCTTACCGGTGCCTCTGATGAGAACATCCCCTCCCTCAGGCCTCAGGCCTCAGGCCTCAGGCCTCATCCTTGGCTTCCTGGATAAAGCCAATTATTTTGTCATGAGCCTGACGACCTCTGCGAGATTATTCAGTACTGAAGTTAACCCAGGTGACCCCACTAGGATGGCGCGACCGGCAGCAGACGTTTGTGACTGGTAGTTAGCTTAATGATGTGCACCCAGATAATACCCCTTGATCTTCTATACCGGTATGAGCACTGTCGTTTGGGTTTCGTTCCTGTATAGCACCGTGACACGAACTTGCCTCACGTCCTCAGTCCAACACCGGCGATGATAGCTCATGAGACGTCTGATGGTCCGGGACATTCAATACAGTTGCTGGTACTATGCAGTATGTCACGCACCAAGGTATTTTATGATATATTCTTTGACGAGGTATACAGCTGACAGCGTTGAGAGTACAAAATTGCAACTGATGCGTAACTGTACTGTACCATCAATGGTGGGAGCAGTTCGAACTTGAAATTTGAAATCTGGGATGGTTAGAATGAGGAAAAATGACGTAGATTCTAGGCATGTCCAATGTGCCAAGCCGAACAAGGTGACCATGACTTACGCCACAACAACTGCTCGCTAGTGCTTCCTTTGACAACACCATCAAACTTTGGGATTGCGAGTCTCACCAACTTCTCGCTTTCTTCAACGTTCAAGATCTTCTTCGACTTATCCTCTCACCCGACTCACGCCAATTAGCTTACACAACAATCACCAAAGACGACTGCAAGGTCTGCATTTATGATATCCCACCTGACGTCCTTGCTCAGGCTTGTGTACGCATTCTCCGCAAACATATCCTGCCTCACATACTAACACTCCCTTCCAGAATATTGCACGCAAAAGGTAATCTACTGCATTTGTGCATCTCATTCTTTTACTTATGATCCCACTCAGCCATCAGTATCATTGAAGTCAGATACAACTCGTCGTCCTCCTACCGGCCATCGCAGAGCACCAATATCTACCTTATCTGTGTCGCAGAGACTTCCACCTAAAACAGTCCTGCAGCAGCCCACTTTCCTTTGCCTTCGCAAACTTCTTCGCTTTCCTTGCACGAATGCATCACAGTCAGGTCGGAAGGATCAATTCCACGATCCCTTAGATGTATGTATCTTTCTCTTGTTTATTTCACAGTTCACTCAACACTTGCGCTGCTGTTCCCTGCATTACCCTTACCTCCTCTCCATCGACTCGCTTGCCTGGTGGCAGGGCCTTTTTAAACCTTATTCAGTCGTCATCAGACAAGGGGAAGAAAAAGGCGCGTGAATCCAAACAAGGAACAAGTTGTTGATGTTCCTCTCGGACAAGCTACATATGTCTGTTATCTCCAATTTTGTTAGGTTCATGTTCTGACCGCGTCATTCGCTAGGCTGATATGGTCGGTGTGGACGACGGAAACTGACCATTTGTTCACTTCTTTTACCTGAACTGATCCCAGAAAAGAGAGAAGAAGGTGCAACCACCGCCGACCAACTCGAGGACGAAAATGTTCTTGATACAGTTGCCCTGCCTCCTCCCGGGTAAAATCAATCAATTCGTTCACAAAATCCATTCACTAACACAGTATTTTAGCATTCAGCAAGGAGAAATTGATTTGAGAACGATAGTTAGGCAGTCACAGCCTGAAGCAGGACTATCTCGCCTTGCGGTTACTTGACCACTTAGAGGCCAGCTTTTATGACCGACTTGTGTAGCACGACTTATTGCATATTGTTGCATTCTCCTTTGACGGGCAGGTGATACAATTTAGATATTCCAACTTCAGACTGGAAGGTTTTGAAAAAGGAAGCCTGAAGCATCTACACATGCCATCAGTTGACGTGCGCTCATTCTCCACCCAGAATGGCATTTCATATTCCCCGATCACTCGGCGAAGCTTCGATGCCAGTGATAGATAAGCCAATGTGTTATCTTCGGGCAGACTTTTCATATCTCCTTTTTTGATGGACATTGCTCGTTCAATGGTACGATGATGCATCGTCCGGTGGACACTCCCTCTGACATTCAATTTTTCTATGGTCCTGCGCAAGAAATTTGTATCAAGGTGTGGAAGTATACGATGAGATGACACGCCGCGGCACATTGACTCGGATATGCAGGTAGCATTGTTTCAATACATCAGTCTGAGTGGAACAAGTCGGTCTCTGATGTGTAGGACTGTGTCGTCACCGGAGTTTGTCATGGGCTGTTCACAGGCGAATAGTTAATGGTAAAACCACGAGTTCTTCATCGAGCATGCACAAAATTCTAAACACGAGAGGGCATTAATGAAAGACATCCAGGAGTTCCCAGGCCGACAGCTTACGGTTGATACTTGCATCGTACGTGTCCTCCATAATTCCGTCTCCAATGTATATGCATGCATGCTTGAGTCATTGCTGCCTGCACCAATCCCGATCGAAGGTATCCGTTGCTTCCTTATTTTGATGGCTTCTGGATTTCTGTGCCATCCAATGTTCATAGCTAGAAGTCCAAATCAACGCCGCAGCATATATTTGCCTGGGTGCCTGTGGTCACGGATACGTCCTATCAATCGACGTCCAACATACCCTTTCTCCAATTCCTCAACGCACCATCCAACTCATCCTCGTGTGAGAACTCTACTATTCCCTTGCCCACACTCTACCGTCTTGTCTACAGTACAGCTCGGTGTTGCATCTTTCTCGAGCAGTACGTGAGGAGATGTTTGCGTTGTGTGCGTGTTGGAAACAATGGTGAAAAAGCCTGGGTGGGATTGATGACAGGTAGAATTTGGGTAGAAATCTTCTGCGTGATTGGTAGTAATACCTTTCATGATAACTTTCATGACAAACTCTCTGTTGGTATTGATATTATTTGGCGGCATTGGATGCTCCAGCTCATTCTCGCATTTTAAATGTATCTTATTGGATCTGTTATCATTACCCAAAATCTATCCGCATTGTAGGGTTATTATCATCATATCATGCACACTTTGTTTTCTCTCCCATCGTGTTTTTATCATCTTGTACATCTCCGGACACCAAAATTTACTAGTGATATGAATTCAATATCATGTTCTTACTTACAAGTGCTAACTAAGCGAGTGAACATTACTTGCTAGTACCATCCACTTCCGTCGCGTATTTAGTTTCCTACGAACTCTTCATAGAAACGATGTTGGTGCTAGAACATCTCCACCATACTAGAGCGAACTTATTCGACACGAACGGATACCAGTGCACCCTGCCCGACATTTAATGCCACCGTGACAGCATGGAACTTGGGCCGCCACCAGAGAACCGATGAGTCCTGTAGGGTGCGTTACGTTGAATTTCTCGGCGACTACCGAATGTATGGCGCTGGAAGCCAATGACACAGTAAATATTACCTGATAGCCAGTAGTCAAGAATCTAAAACATCCCGTGAATCGACGTGGAACTTACCCATTCTTCACGTGCGAATGTCTGCATCGCGTAGGGGTGGAAAACTATTGTGATAGGAGAGGGCTACGTGGGATTAGTGGGAGCGGGATCTACTGCGTGATTGGGTGAAGGAGGCTGAGCATTCGAGGTACAAAGTACGAGATAAATACTTACCTGTGCGCTTTCCCCCCAACACCGCTCATGACGACCCTGAACTCTCAACATTCCGCCCACAGTAGCCCAACAGCGTCTCATACGTAGAGCGATCAACGAAGTGCCATCGTGGATGTGCAGCAAGATCTGTTTTCGAAATTTCAAAGCAATATATATGCTAGAAGCACCGCAATCAGCATAACCGCTAGCAAGGACTCACCGGTTTACTAATGTGATGATGGCGAGTTGAGCTGCATGTTTCTGAGTCCCAGACGATGTTCTACAACGTTGGCATTGTGGTGTGTGCATGTACTCAGAACAGTCTGATATGATGGGATGAGGAAAGGTGGTCTTCGTAAACGTTCACATGTCTAGAGCGAAACCGATGAATGAGCAACGATGAAGTTTGAGTGAGTACTTGTGTCTGTTGCACTTCGTTGGGCGGGAAAAGGAAAACAGTCTTGGCGCTGGCAGTGACTACCATGGCTGTGAGGAAAAGTAAGTGCGGCGGATACAATGATGCAGGGTGGAATGCACAGCTGCCATGTAGTAGGGTATATACATGCAAGGCGTTGCCCAAGGCCAATAGTTGCACTCACATTCAAGAATTCCCTCCTCAACTCGGTTCTTGGCTTCTAAAGCGCTAACCTCTCAGTAACACCAAATCCCCATCTGTATTTCTAACGCAGATGAACTGATGTTTGACTCGATCAGGGGGCCTATCTTCAAATCACTGCCAGCATCAGTTATACAGTGCACTGATAACGGGAGACCTCACCTTTGCAAATTTGAACGCTTCCAAAGAATACTTTGCTCGTACTACTTCACAGTTTGGCTGACGGAGACGCAGCCATGGCTTCCGCGCCGACATCGAAGGCAGCTCCCATGAGGTCGAATTTGACACCATCGATGACCTTGAATGGTCATGGAAACTTGATCCAGTCCATATCCTATTTTCCAGACGGTCAGCGAATGATCAGCGGATCCGAGGACAAGACCGCTCGGCAATGGGATCTGAAGGCGGGCAAGGAGATTGAGGATTCGCGGAGTATTTGCGAGAATGAGGTAAGAGCAGTGGCGGTATCAAGGGATGGTCGATGGGTTGTCACTAGCACTGGTGGTGGAGATCGGAGTAGTGCCGAGTTGAAAGCCTGTGAGGTTGAGACGGGGAATGTGAAAACATTCAAAGGACACTCACGGAGGATCAGATGCATTGACATCTCCATGGACAGCAAGCTGCTGGCGAGTGGATCAGACGATCAAACAGCGCGGATATGGAACCTGGGCACTGGCAAACTCGTGGCTGGTCCATTCAAGAGCATTGATTGGGTGGGTGCAGTTCGATTATCCACAGATTCGAAGAAACTCGCAGTCAAATCGTGGCTGGGAACGTATATTGAGGTCTGGGATGTCGAATCGCAGAAATTGGATGTCAGAGCGGGGGAATATGAAGTAGGAGGGACGTCTGCGCCAATGTTCTGGACAAACAACAACAACATCATCATAGCTGCTTTCAGCTTCACCACGGACGACAATGCCAGAACAATTTACGAGTTTGACGCGTCGACGTTGAAGACTGTTGGAGCTGCCTTTGAAGGGCACACCAAAGATGTCACTGGCCTAGCACTTTCATTTGACCATGCACTCCTCGCTAGTGCTTCCTTCGACAACACCATCAAGCTCTGGGATTGCGAGTCTCGTCAACTCCTCGCTTCCTTCAACGTTCAAAACCTTCTTAGACTCGTCCTCTCGCCCGACTCACGCCAATTAGCTTACACGACAATCACCAAAGACGACTGCAAGATCTGTATTTGTGATATTCCACCCGACGTCCTTGCTCAGGCTTGTGTACGTATTCTCTGCAAACACATCCTGCTCACATACATACTAACATTCCCTTCCAGAATATTGCACGCAAAAAGGTAATCCTCCTGCATGTGTGCATCTCATTCCTATACTCATGACCCCACTCAGCCATCGCTATCGTTGCAGTCAGATACAACTCGTCCTCCTCCTACTGGGCATCGCAGAGCACCAATATCTACATTACATATGTCGCAGAGACCTACACCTAAAACAGACCCAAAGCAGCCCACTTTCCTTCGCCTCCGAAAACTTCTTCGCTTTTTTCGCACGAATGCATCACAGCCAAGTCGGAAGGATCAACTTCGTGATCCCTTAGATGTATGTTGCTTTCTCTTGTTTATTTCGCAGTTCGCTCAACACTTGCGCTGCAGTTCCCTGCTACATTACCCTTACCTCCTGATGGCTGTCATAGTGTAACGCTCGTCAAAAGCCGTCGACGATACGTCGACGATGGCAACCAAATATTAGCTTTATCATTCTCTCTAGTTACTCATTTAGTTTCTTTCTCCTTTAGTCCCTGACTTTCTTACCCTTCAGTATATAAGCCATCGCGTATTTACTTGTAGGGTAGTTGATTTTCACCCCCCCTTGAATAACACTTAGTTAGGACAGTTACCCTGTTCGAACCTTAAGACGATTCAAACCTATCGACTCTCTAGTGTGAACGTTTCATAAACGCCACACATAGAGACAGCTCTCCATCGACTCTCTTGCCTGGTGGCAGGGCCTTTTTCAATTTTATTCAGTTGTCATCAGACAAGGGGAAGCAAAAGGCGCGTGAATCCAAACAAGGAACTGCGCAAGTTGTAGATGTCCCTCTCGGACAAGCTACATACGTTTGTTGTCTACAATTTTGTTGGGTCATGTTCTGACTGCGTCATTCGCTAGGCTGATGTGGTCGGTGTAGACGACGGAAACCGACCATTTGTTCTGTTCTTTTGCCTCAACTGGTTCCAGAAAAAGGAGAAGAACCAGGAACCACGGTCAGTCTATGATGATGAACTCGAGGATGACGAAGAGGATGAAAATGTTCTTGATCCGGTCAGCTTACCTCCTCCTGGGTACATGAAACATTCGTTCACACATTCACTCGCTAACGCAGTCTTTTAGGATCCAGCACGAAGACATTGAATTGGCAACGGTGTCACAACCAAATTTAGGACCCTCTCGCCTGGTCGAAGTAGCTCTGCCACGGAAGACTGAGACAGCGCCGATATAACCAGGTTGGATCACTTCATGATTATACCGCAAGGGAGGTGCAAGTTTGTGTGGGTTGGTAGGGAAGCCAAAAAGCCTTGGATGGGCGCATACTCCGAGTGGTGTGGTGAGATGAGGAAAAGTGATCTCACCAAGTTCAAAGCGAAATCGACAGACGAGCGACGATAAAGTTGGGTAATAGGACAAGGAGATCAATTGATGATGTACATAATACCCAAGGCAGTGACCGGTTCTGAGCCGAAGCGAAGAGAAACAGTGCACAGCTGTCATGCAGAAGGGGCGTGTGCAAGGCGGTGCTCAAGCGCTCAAGGCCAACAGCTGTCCTCACAATGAATTCATCGCTCCCCAACGTCTTCTCTGCTAAGGTATGACTAAATCCTTGTATGGATTCCAGTGCGGATGAACTGACAGTTGGTTTCACCAGGGGGCCTATTCTTCAACTCACTGACAGCGATACTCGTAGAGTACATCGACACCAGGAGACCTCACCTGCGCATTGTTCAACGTGTCCAAAGAATACTTGTTCATACTCGACTACTTCACAGTTTCACTCGCGGAGACGTAGTCATGGCTTCTACATCATGATCGATCGAACCATCAATAATCTTGAAGGGTCACGAATATTCTATTGAATCTATATCCTATTTTCCACATGGCCAGCGAATAATCAGCGGATCTGAAGGCAGGTAAGGAGATTGAGGAAGCGCGGGATGTTTGCGAGGTGGTATTGGCAGTGGCGGTATCAAGAGACGTTCAGTGATAGCAACTATGTCGAGCAACAGATATCAGGACCTCGAGGGCGACAGGTAACAAAATCCCATGAAGGAGCAAGAACGCAAAGAAAGGTGCCACTGACCGCGTCAGGCTTGAGATAATGCCCACAACTGCGCAGTGACTCATTAAAATAACATTGTATGCGGAGGAATCAAACTACAATGCAATATGAAAGATCGTTTAGCAACAAGGAAGATAGTTGTTGAAACAATGTATGGGAGACCTGACTTGCAGACCGGCGAGTACTGTGAATCTCGATGCTATCGCCTGTCCGTGACTCTGGGAGCGTGGATATACATAGAAGGAACCGGAGCACGCTCGAATCCATGGCTCATTTGGCACTGGGAAATTCCAGTGATTAGCAGTAAGTGTAGTTAATGCGCACTCACCGACACCATTTTGGAACACCGCAGCAGTGGCACAGCATTTGCACGATGTCCATCAATGGGGTGTGGGATATAAACAAGATTGACGCCCTAGCACAGGAAGTTGTCGTGGCTGTGAGCAGTTTGAAGAGAATGCGCACCTTGCACAATAGTCGTACTCACATTGTAGAACATCTCCTTCTCGATCATTGATAGCCTCCTGGTAATATTAATTCTTATTCGAACATGAACTGACGATTAGCTCTACTAGAGGCAAAGCACGCTCGAATTGAGGATCCTGAAAACGAGTGTCAACGTCAGGCCTACAGCATACGAGGAGAGTTTGCCGTACCACCAAACAAATCTAACAAAAATCTTTCCTGCCCTTGCCTATTTCACGGTCTCGCTAGCGGACCCGTAACCATGGCTTCTACATCGACGAGGGCAGCTTCCAGGAAACGGATTTTGACTCCATCAATGACTTTGAAGGGTCACGGAGAAATGGCTATATCCATATCCTATTTTCCAGACGGCCAGCGAATGATTAGCGGATCTGAGGACAGCACCGCTCGGCAATGGGATCTGAAGGCAGGCAAGGAGATTGAAGAAGCGCGGGATGTTTACGAGGAGTTATGGGGAGTGGCGGTATCAAGGGATGGTCGATGGGTTGTCACTGCTGGTGGATATCAGTATAGTGCCGGGCTGAGAGCCTGTGAGGTTGGGACTGGGATTGTGAAAACATTCGAAGGGCACTCGAATTGGGTTACATGCATTGATATCTCTATGGACAGCAAGCTGCTGGCGAGCGGATCATTCGATCGTACGACGCGGATATGGGATTTGGAGACTGGTAAAATCGTGGCTGGTCCATTCGGAGACGTCGATTTGGTGGCAGCAGTTCGATTCAGCACCGATTCACAGAAGCTTGCGGTCAAATCGTGCCGAGGGATGTGCCTTGACATCTGGGATGTCCAATCACAGAAATTGGATGTCAGACTGGGGGATTTTTGTGTAGAAAGTGAAGAATACACAGAAGCACCAATGTTCTGGACAAACAACAACAAAAACATCTTGGCCGCATTCAGCTTCAAGGATGACTACGCTGGGACAATCTACGAGTTTGACGCATTGACGTTGGAGACTGTTGGAACTCCCTTCGAAGGGCACACCATGGTTATCACTGGCCTAGGACTTTCATTTGACCATGACCTCCTGGCCAGCGCTGCTGAGGATGACACCATCAAGCTCTGGGCTTTTCAGTCACGCCAGCTCCTCGCCTCCTTCGATATTCAGAACCCCTATTGCCTTGTCTTCTCACCCGTCTCACGCCAACTAACTTACACGACACGGAGCAACGATGATGCCAAGATCTGCATCTGTGATACTCCATTCGACATCCTTGCTCAGGCCAGTGTATGTATTCCACTCAAAATTCTACTGTTCGTGTGCCAACGTTTTCTTACAGACCAATGCATTCAAAAAGCCTGGCCTCAGATATTTACTACCTCCCGTATCGTCTATCGCAATTCCTCCCCCTCCATTGCAAATACTCTCCTCTACAGTAGGCTCACTGCTACCACAGTTACGCGACGACCCCCGCGAGCTCCTTCCCTCCTCTTCCTATACTCCTACAGTCTTCTTAGCTCGCAATGTTGAGCCTGACGATCTCCCCCTTGAAGAAATGCTCCAAGACCTTTCAAAATACATCACCAAGGAGGGAGACTACCCTGTTGCTCGTGGTGGGTTCGGGGAGATCTGGAAATGCACCTTGCACATCGATCGTAGCTCGGTCAAAGTTTGTTGGCCATTTTTCGTCTGTCCATCTGTCTGAAATTAATCTTACAGGTTGCAGTGAAAGCATTGCAGGTGTATGCTGGTGATCAACTTGGAGCACCGAAGATGAAAAAGATCAAGGTGAGCGTCTTACTGAAGGACTAAGTCTATTGCTTACACCACAAGGCGCCACTTTGTAGAGGATAAAGCGTGAACTCAAGATATGCGCCAAACTCAACCATGCAAATATTCTGCGCATTCATGGTTATACGTATGGTTTTGGCCCATTGCCAGCGATAATCAGTCCTTGGGCAGAGAATGGAAACTTGACAGTCTATCTGGAAAATAAAGGTGCGGCTCTGACTCTCGTTCGACGATTCCAGCTGGCAAGTCGTCTCTTCGTGTATTTTGGGTAGACCCCAAAACTGATGGAAAACTTAGCTAAGAGATATTGTAGCTGGCCTGCAATATCGTATGTGATAGACTTTACTATTGCCGGATCGAGCCATAATTACTCCTCATAGTCCACGCCAACAGTGTAATCCATGGCGACTTCAATGGGGTGAGTTTTATCTTCTTGATGGTTCTGATGTCATTGAGACGTGAGCTCCAGCCTAACGTGTTGATCCGTGCTGATGGCACTGCGTGTATTGCTGACTTTGGTCTTTCCTTGATGTATTCCGAAATTGTAAGCGCCTCTCAGGCTTCCTGGACGTCCACTCTCAAAGGAAACATGCGATGGATGGCTCCTGAACTGCTCTTAGAGCGAGAGGATGGTTCTCAAGTTCGACCAAGCGAGCAGAGTGATATGTATTCATTCGGCGGTGTCATGTTGCAGGTACGTCTGGGTTAATTTTAGCCTTTCATTGACAATCACAAGCTCCACTCACAGGTCCTCACCAATAAAGTACCCTATTATCACCTCACGAATGATGCCCGTATCATATTTTGCATAGCCAAGTCGGAAACGCCTTCCCGATCTCGTTATTCTGCACTCCCTGAAAAATACTGGGAGTTTATCGAGCAATGTTGGTCTACTGATCCTTGGGACCGTCCCTCGACGGAGGGAGCTGATACAACGATCAGGAATGAATTTTACTCGCTGTCCAGATCTCGTTGATCCTTGTATTATCTCGCATTCAGAAATCTGTTTGTACACCCAGATAGATAAACCTAGGTACAGCTGTATAGTAAACATAGACCCATCCCAAGATTTCTCTACAGTCATTGGTATCGAGAGGATCATTAGTGTCACGTCAACCTCTTTCACCTTTTATAATCATAGCTCATACACAGATTCTAGCAGGCCTACACGGGACGCATAAGACAATGGTGTCCATAGGACACTCAGCTCCCGCTTACAAGCTTTCTGTTTTCGAAACACAAATGTATGATGATCCCGACCTTGAAATTTGTGGATAGGCATTGAATCTCGTGTCAGGTACACGTTCAACTTTTGCGGATTCGTAATTCTATAGGGCGATGACAACGAAATATCCTGTCGTGTGAGATATACGTGTATTCGATACGACGGGGCGAGGAAAGGGTCATTCACCCGTTGAAAGCCAAACCGGCGAATGAGCGATGATCAATTTGGAGTGAGTTTCGGCATGTCGTCTATCGTTCGGTGGGAATGGAAAAACAACTTTGACGCTTTAGTCATCATGGGCAGTGACTGCCATGGCTGTGAGGCGGAGAAGCAAATGTGATAAATATAATGGTGGCGCAATGCACAGCAGCTACTATGTGATGGTGTGTATATATGCAAGATGAAACCTAAGACTCACATCCAGAAATTCATCGCTCGTCAAGTTCTTTGCTGCTAAAACGCTAACCTCTCGGTAACACCAAATTCTCATCTATAACTTTAGCGCGGATGAATTGATGTTTGGCTTTACCAGGGAGCTCATATCCGATTTTTTGCCACCATCAGTCATATAATACACTGACACAGGAAGACCTCACCTTTGCACCTTTCAACACATCCAAAGAATACCTTTCCCATAGTCGGCTACCAGGTTTGGCTCATGAAGACGCAGCCATGGCTTCTGCGCCGAAACCGGAGGAAACTGCTACAAAATCGAATCTGACACCATTAATAACTTTGAAGGGTCACGGAAAATGGATCCGATCCATATCCTACTTTCCAGATGGCCAGCGAATGATCAGCGGATCTGAGGACAAGACCGCTCGGCAATGGGATCTGAAGGCGGGCAAGGAGATCGAGGAAGCGCGGGATGTTCGTGTGGAGGAGGTGTGGGCAGTAGCGGTATCAAAGGATGGTCGATGGGTTGTCACTGCCAGTGGTGGAGATGGTTATGGTGCGGAGTTGAAAGCTTCTCAGGTTGAGACGAGGAGTGTGAGAACATTCGAAGGACACTCGCGGAGGATCACTTGCATTGATATTTCTGTGGACAACACATTACTGGCGAGTGGATCAGACGATTTTACAACGCGGATATGGAGCTTGGAGACTGGCAGACTCGCAGCTGGTCCATTCAAGAGCTTCCATTATGTGAGCACAGTTCGATTCTCAACAGACTCGAAGAAACTCGCAATCATGTCATTGGTGGGGAAGCACATTGAGATCTGGGATGTCCAATCACAGAAATTGGATGTGAGGAAAGTGAAATACCCTGCCAGTGGAGATGGAGCCACATACCCGCTTTTCTGGACAAACGACAACAAAAACATCCTAGGCGCTTTCAGATTCACCAATGACAATCCCAGTACAATATTCTGCGAGTTCGACGCGTCAACGTTGGAAACTGTTGGGGTTCCCTTTGAAGGGCACTCTGACCTTGTCACCGGTCTGGCACTTTCATTTGATGGTTCTCTCCTCGCTAGTGCTGCTTGGGACAATACCATCAAGCTCTGGGCTTTCGAGTCCCGACAGCTCCTCGCTTCATTCCACGTTCAGAATCCGTATATCCTTGCCCTCTCACCCGACTCACACCAATTAGCTTACACGACAATCACCAATGATGAGATCTGCATCTGCGATATTCCACTCGAAGTTTTTGCTCAGGCCAGTGCACGTATTTCCCACAAACATGTACTGGTGTACTAATATTTTCTTACAGACCAGTGTGCACTTAAAAGGACCCACGGCAGATTTCCAACGCATAAGTAGTTCACGGCCACCCCAGTTACCGCCTGACCCCCGCGAGCCCCTTGCCTCCTCTTCCCACACCCACACAGTCTCCTCTGCTCGTAGTGTTGAGTCTGACGCTCTCCCTCCTGAAGCAACGCTGAAAGACCTCACAAAACATATCATCAAGGATGGAAACTACCCTGTTGCTCGTGGCGGGTTCGGGGAGATCTGGAAAAGCACCTTGCACATCGATGATAGCTCGGTCAAAGTTCGCTTCCCGTCTTTCGTCTGTCCATCTGTCTAAAATTAATCATTTTGCAGGTCGCAGTGAAAGCATTGCAGGTGTACGCTGAGGATGAACTTAAGGCTGCGAAAAGGAAAAAGATCAAGGCAAGTGTTTTACTGAAAGATTGAGTCTATTCCTTACACCACAGGGCGCCATTTCATAGAGGATAAAGCGTGAACTTAGGATATGTGCCAACCTCAAACATGCAAATATTCTGCCCGTCTTTGGTTATACACATGGCTTCGGCCCATTTCCGGCCATAGTCAGTCCTTGGGCGGAGAATGGTAACTTGACGGTCTATTTGGAGCGTGAGGGTGAGACTCTGACTCTTGTTCAACGATTCCAACTGGTAAGTCCTCTCTTCAAATATCTTGGCTAGGCCACAAGACTGATGGAAAACTTAGCTAAGAGACATCGTAGCTGGTCTGCAATATCGTATGTGATAGACTTTATTTACTGTTGCCGGACCGAGCTGTAACTACTCCTCATAGTTCATGCCAACAATGTCATCCATGGCGATTTCAATGGGGTGAGTTTTATCTTCTGGATGGTTCCGATGTCATTGAGACGTGAGCTCCAGCCTAACGTGCTGATCCATGGGGATGGCACTGCGTGTGTCGCTGACTTCGGTCTTTCCTTGATGTATTCCGAGGTCATAAGCGCCTCTCAGGCTTCCTGGACATCCACCCTCAAAGGTAACATGCGATGGATGGCTCCTGAGCTGCTTGTAGAGCGGGAGGATGGTTCTCAAGCTCGGCCAACCAAGCAGAGCGACATGTATTCATTCGGCGGCATCATGCTGCAGGTACGTCCAGGTTAATTTTGGCTTCTCATTGATATCACGAGCTCCACTCGTAGGTCCTCACCAACAAAATGCCCTATTATCACCTCACGAATGATGCCACCATTATACTCTGCATAGCCAAGTCGCAAACGCCTTCCCGATCTCGCTACCCTGAACTCCCTGAACAATACTGGTCATTCATCGAACAATGTTGGTCTACTGATCCTCGGGACCGTCCCTCGACACAGGGAGCTGATACAACAATCAGTAATGAATTTAACTTGCTGTCCATATCTCGTTGATTCTTGCACTACTCGCATCCAGAAATCTGTTCACAGTACAACCAGATAGATAAACCTAAGTAGTAGGTACACCTGTATAGTAAACGTAGGCTCACCTCAAGATTGTCATTGGAATCATTGTCGTTGACGAAAAAACTATCCTGTTTGCGGCGACTGGAATGATTCAGCATGCATGCGGGCACTGGTCCTGATTGAAGCAGGCTGACTAGAGATGTATCAGACAATGCTGTTCATAGAACACTCAATTCCCGTTTATGAGCTTCCGGCGTTTGACACGCGGGTGTATGGTGATTCCGACCTTGAATTTTGTGGACGGGTATTAAATATTGGGTGTCAGGGACACATTTGATTTTGTAGATCCAAAGGTGATTCTATAGCGCTTAACGTGATAACAGAATATCACAAAAGGCTACTGAGATATCCTGCAAGGTCATATATGCATGTACTAAGAATAATTTGCTACTATGGGTGAGGAAAGGTGGCCTTCGTGAACGTTGATTCGTTCAAAGCGAAACTGGCGAACGAGAAATGACGAAGTTTGAATGAGTGCTTGAGCGTTTGTCGTCCATCGTTGGGTGGGAACAGGAAAACAGCTTCGACGCTTTAGTCATGGCAGTGACTGCCATGGTTGTGAGGCGGAGAAGTAAATGCGATGAATAGAATGGCGGGCGCAATGCACAGCAGCCATGTCATAGGTATATATATACAAGGCCAAGGCCAATAGGTACACTCACATTCAGGGATTCATCACTCCTCGAATTCTTCGCTGCCAAAGCGCTAACCTCTTGGTAAACTCTCATCTGTATCTCCAGCGCGGATGAATTGATATTTGGCTTTACCAGAGAGATCATATCCGAATTGCGGCCACCATTAGCCACATAACACATTGACACCGGGAGACCTCACCTTTTAGCGCATCCAAAGGATACCTTTCCCGTGCTCGACTACCAGGTTTGACTTACAGAAAGACAGCCATGGATTCTGCGCCCACGTTAAAGGCTGCTGCGACGAAATCACCGTCAATGACTTTAAAGGGTCACAGAGACCTGATTCAATCTATATCTTACTTTCCAGACAGCCAGCGAATAATCAGCGGATCTTGGGACAAGACCACTCGGCAATGGGATTTGAAGGTAGGTAAGGAAATTGAGGAAGCGCGAGGTGTTTGCGAGGGGCAAGTATGGGCAGTAGCAGTATCAAAGGATGGTCGATGGGTTGTTACTGCCAGTGGTGGAGATGGTGATCGTGCGGAGTTGAAAGCGTGTGAGGTTGAGACGGGGATTGTGAGAACATTTGCAGGACACTCACGGAGGATCAACTGCATCGATATCTCCACAGACAACACGTTATTGGCGAGCGGGTCAGAAGATAAAACGACGCGGATATGGAACTTAGGGACCGGAAAACTCGTGGCTGGTCCATTCAGAGGCATGGGGGCTGTTCGATTCTCAACAGACTCGAAGAAACTTGCGGTCATGTCGTGGCTGGGGATGTGCCTTGAGGTCCGTGATGTTCAATCACAGAAATTGGATGCGAAGATAGGGGAATTTGGTGGAATAGGATCCACGTATAAGCCAGCTGTGTGCTGGACAAAAAACAACAAAACCATCATAGCCCCGTTCAACTTCATCACAAAAGATGATGCCAGGACAATATATGAGTTTGACGCGTCGACGCTGGTGACTGTCGGAGCTCCCTTTGAAGGGCACACCAAGGATGTCACCGGCCTAGCACTTTCATTTGACCATGCTCTCATCGCTAGCGCTTCCTTCGATAACACCATCAAGCTCTGGGATTACGAGTCCCGCCAACTGCTGGCTTCCTTCGACGCTCAAAATCCTCGGATCCTTATTTTCTCACCCGACTCGCACCAATTAGCTTATGGGACTTACATCGAATCTGAAGATGATTGCAATATCTGTATCTGCGATACTCCATCTGATGTCCTCGCTCAGGCCAGTGTACCCGTACACATCTCCAGTTCGTGTGCTAATTCTCCCTTACAGACCAGCGCACGCAAGAAGTTGGCTCTTCGTGATCGACTAAAAGTATGTCCCTTGTCATTTTGCTTGGCATTGCACCGCTTAATCTATGGCTATCGCTGTAGTCTGACGGAACCCATCATTCTGCTACCGTGCGCCCGCACCCTAAACCGCCAATATGTACCATACCTATGGATTCCAGACCTCTGCCTACGGCCGAACCCCGGCAATCCATGTTCCTTCGTCTCAGAAAGCTTCTTCGCATCTCTCCTCGCACGAACGTGGTACGCCCTGGTTGGAACGGTCAACCTCGTGATTCGTTGGATGTATGTTTCTTTCTTTTGTTGCTTTCGTATTTATCTGACATCTGTGCTGTAGTTTTCTACTAAGTTGCCCCTACCCCGTCCCATCTCGGGAACTCAGGCATGTCGAGTTCATTTTTCGCATTTTATTCAAAGTCTAATGCATAGATTTACAGCGCAACGCTGCAGCGGGTGCTCCCAACAAAGACAAGGATATAGTACACAATGAATATCTCGACCCTGCCTAACCGAACCCTGATTCACAGCAATCAGTCGCAGCAATACAGCCTGCCACCGGTGAACATGGAATGGAAGTGGCCGGCCATGTTTTTGCTTCTAGCGCTGTGCCGTTGACAATTCCTATTTGTTTTCAACTGGCATTCAGTACTATATGTACGTGGATATCGAATCTTGATCAATATGTTGATACATGAATCAACATCTTATCCTCAGTTAGCTATGTATTATGATGGTTCTTTGCTATTCTATAGTAAGAGCTTCTAGATTAAGTAACGTTTGTTCTGTGATTGTTTTTCTGTGGTAAACGAACCAGCACGTACATTCCCTTCTCTCTCACAATGTCAATTGGGCGCAGTTATATCGGCGCATGCATATGCCTTTGCTAAACTGAGACCGACATCCCAGAGGTTCTGCGCGCTGGTCCATGTATCGCTTCTAATCAGGTAAAATAGATATGAGCAATTCGTGATGCGAGAGGCTAAACTACTGACCCAAAGTAAAAAATGATGGGAGCGATATCATTGCGACGCGATAAATCGAGTGGACCAGGGATGTTAATTGATATTCCGTCTTGGAAAAAGTCGTGGACGACGACGACGATCTGTAAATCTGACAGCCTCCCTGATACTTGCACCGTCAATGAACAGACGAATGAACGTGGTTGCGAGCGCGAGAGACCCTCGTCTCACTCCAGGTAAGCAGTTCTTGTCTGCAGAAAAGCTTGGTGTTACGCTTCGCAAGCAAGACGCACGGGAATTTCTGCGTCGCGTGGATCATGTAATAAATGTCGTCGATGGTGGGGAAAGCGCCATGGAAATTGGATGGAAGTCTGCTGCGTGGTTAGCTATGAAGACCGCGGAAGTAATCAGGTTTACAGAGTCGTGTTAAAGTGGGTTTGTGTCCTAGGACTGGAGTTAGAAAATGCATTGTAGGATAATATCAACACATCGTAGTGCACGAGACTGCTTGATTCCTGTGTATGGTCGAATCTGAGTGGAAGGACACACATTCAATTTACCCACCGTTTGCACTTGAAATCCGTTTTCAAAAGTACGAAATAAAGTCACTCACTGCGTGCCTTCCCTCATAGATACCGCGCAATAAACAAGGGCATGCTTTCATTGTCATGTGAATACAGGAAGCCTTGTCAGTGTTTCTGATGACGGTACGCGCACGGGTCAATGAGAGTACTTGTCGGAGTTTGAAGAGACAAAGTGTAGAAGGACGCTCCATACTCGGAACTGCGACTCACCCCTCACTGCACAAATCACTTTGAAAACATTGCCAACTCATCGGTCTCCACTACAAATTTCACATGATGTGTTCGAAAAAGTGTTAGCGGTCCCAAGGTGTGATCTCAATGACGATTCTATCCACGTGGTAGTACAGTAGATGGAACGACATGTAGCCATTGTAAGTCAGTCTACTGCAGAAACATTGCGTCTCGCCTCCACAAACAAGGACTTCACGAGTCGCCAAACGCACCTTATTCGGCACTGTCTCAGTCACTGTGAGGTAAATTCCTCCGTTTAGACAATATTCCTTCCACAGAACTGATATTTGACCACAGAGAATAATCGTCTGATAGACGTCCATGCTGATATCCCGACATATTTCAGTTCACTCAGAGCAGATATAAACGGAACGCACTTGAATTTCTCCTCAACTTTGATCCCTCGTGCTCCATCAATCCCCAACCTCCGTCCTTGCGAAGTTTGAACTGGTTTTTATCTTCATCGAGTTGCGGGACGTGGATAAGGCTGTATCTCGGAAGAGAACATTGTAGTGTCTCCGAGGTTGATTGGTGCGTTGAGTTTTTCCTAAGGAGGGACGGGCATAGATGCTGACTCAGTGACGTAGGCATCTGTAATGTGGTTAAGATGGCACTCGACTACGTTAATGGTTGTAATCACCAGAGCTTTGATGTCGACGCACTCAGCCCAAGCATTGCACCTAACGCGGAAGCACAGTAAGCATTTTAATTTTTGACAGTCAGTATTGCATTGGGTGGGACGGAGTCAGTCATGTGTTTGCACGCTTTGATGATGTATGCGCGCCGAAAATACCTTTTGATAGATGTGTTTTTGAAGGTCATGGTTATTCACCACGTATCCCGAGTCAGATATCTGATACTGCGGACACCCACTACACGCGGGAAAAGCCCATTGGCTTGCGCAGATTCTTTATACATCGTTTTTCCCGTTTCATTGGGACTACGAACACTTAGATGCGTTGTAGGAATGTCCAAGTCCACGACGGGTACACGATGTCTTCCTACGTCAATCTATTCCAAATGAAATCAAATGTGAAGTCAATAACCAGCACTCACCAAAATCCCTGGAGGTGCGCGGTGGCCTCACAGGACATTACATCCGCGAGGTGATTCATCAGACAGGTATTCGCCTGACTTAACGGTACGTCTGTGACTTTCGCTCGCATAGTCCCTTGACGTGATCTGACATGCTCCCCGGACGCAGATCGCTTGTGGATGTGGAGAGCATACGCCGGACTGTAACGTGAGGTGCTTACTGAAGAGCACAATGACCCACCATCCTGTGAGAGGAGTGAGTGAGTGGTTGCATGGGTCGCTAAGGTGTGGAATTCGCATCGAATGTCCTGGTGCACTGTGCCCGACAACCCAAAGACGCGGCCTTCTATTGGTGGTTGGCCATATACCTACATCGTTAGTATCAATAATTGCGACTTCCTATCTAATGTGTTTATATTTAATGCATGTTGTCGATAGATCTGGAATATGCAATTTCGGATGGCAAAATTAAGTCTGTCGGTAACGTGTGGAGAACATATACACGAAGAACATACTCAGCCAAAGGAATAATACCCTGGATTCGATAAGATCCAACGCGTCGTGCTCAATAATTATGGATGAATACCCATTCGCACACATCCACATTCGTGTCGGGGAATATCCGGGTGGCCTGCGTGTTATACTATTGTCTGCTGACGGAATCAAGGTCAGTGGACGCATTCCTTTGTATCTGTGTTGCTTGGCCTGGGGTAACAATCTGTTGGCCACAACACCACAAAGCAAGGAACGCGTTAAGAGTAAGCGCAACGGGTTCATCCGCTGGTAGTGGTTGCTTCAACAGTTTAAATACTGCAACTTGCGTCTCTTTCCTCCTGTTCAACATCCATCGCATTTTGCCTTCCGCATCTACCATTTAACTTGTGTACTGTGGGTTACTCTTGTATAGTTACTTCACCTTCTGACACTCACCTTGTCCTGCCACAGGCTGGAGCCTCGCGCCATACACTTCATCTCGACTATTCTAGATAATTCAATATGTACCAGGAGCCGATTCAAACGGGCCAAGTGCCAGTCCAAGGCCCGCCTCAACATGAGTTTCATCCTTATCCCCCAACCATGTACCAGCAGCCAGCTCAAACGGGCCAAATGCCGGTCCCGGGCCCACCTCAACCTGGGTTTCGTCCTCACCCCCCAATGATGTACCAACAGCGGAATCAAATGGGCCAAATGCCAGTCCCAGTCCCAGGCCCGCCTCAACCTGGGTTTTATCCTTACCCCCCAATGATGCCCCAGCCTCCACTTGTGCCCTCGCGGTTTAGGCCTTACCCCCCGGAGGTCTACGTATATTGTTATCAACAATATTTACACGCAACTGGCCAAGTCCCCGGGCCGCCAAACCTAGTCCCTCCCCCTCCCCCTCCTCCACACCATTTGGGTGGGTATCCCCCCGCCTTCCAGGGTATGGGTGTACCGCCAGCGGCTGCGCCGCTTCAACATCCTTCCGCACCCCCCTTGGCACAACCTTCCCACGACACGCATTTGGAGCAGGGACCGGAGGAACAAGCACCAGTAGCTGACGCTGAGGAGAGCGCTGTCAAGCGCGGAAAGCGCAAGGCGGTGGACTTTGATGACGATGATGCTCCCCCACGAAAAAAGCAAACGATTCACCCCCTTGTTGACTACCCCGATTTCGTGAGTCCATTTTGTATTTAGTTCTAGCTATCATGCTGACAATTATCTCATCAGGAACTGGTCCAAAATAACGGCGAGGTCCGTTACAAGTGCTGCCTGTCGCAGTGCGAAAACGTGCCTGCAGTGCCACGCGCTGGCATACAAGATCATATCAAATCGAAGAACCACCCGCAGGTCAGGTCTCGGTCCCCATCCCTAGAATATTACGAGCCGTAAGTACTACTAGGCTTTTAAATGTGACTTTGGAGCTGATATGTGAATTTTTGCTAGTGTAAATGACGGGGACTTTTCGAACATAGGCGACTCTTGTTTCAACAACCAGCAAGAGACTTACGGGATATCTCAAGGAACTTACGAAGGTTTGACTTCGAACGAGCCGTTTGGACCTTTTTCTAACAGTTTTGAAGAAACTACCGATTTGACTTCGAGCGAGTCGTTGGAAACGTCCGACAACAGTCTTGACGAGACTACGTATTCGGGTTGGGACGAGGGGTTCAACGATTTTTTCGACATCGAAGCAGCTTGCGAACCAGTTTCTGGCGAGCAGACTGAAGAGTCTGTCAAAAAACCTGAAGAAACCATCGATTCGGCTTCGGGCTCGCTTGCCGACGATCTTTATGGAACTGTCGATTCAGCTTCGGACGAGCAGTTGGACGAGTCCGCCAACAGTCTCAAGAAGAATCTTGAAGAAACTGTCGATTCGGCTTCGGACAAGCAGTTGGAAGAGTCTACCGACAGCCCGGAAAAGAGTGGTGTTCACGAAATGGACAATATGACATCGGAAGAGTTGCTTGAATATTGCATCAACCATCTTGATGAAACTTACAACTTCACTTAGGCTCCGGGTGAGTCGTTGGATGATATGTTACATTGTTTGTTTTCTTTCTATGTATTTTGAATCGTTGCAGCTTCACCCTTACTATATATTATGATTATGACAATTATGATTATGACATACTGTACATCCGAATACATACAAACTAGTATGATGCATGCTAGCTACAAGCCGGTCTTGCTGAACTCGTACAAAGTACGTCGTGGGGCGAATTCGGAAAGGTATAATGAACTAGACTGTACTCAGTCTGCCGTTGAAGTTTGAGTCAATTAAGTTTCAAACTTTCTATTCACCACAGTAATATCTACGGTCTTCGATTCCCATGAAATCTTTGAGTACTTACGCTTGGGATCTCTATATACAATACTCATCGATGGAGGCTGTGTGTTTGGCATAGTATGTCGTCCTGCATGCTGACTCCTGAATCCAGACAGAGTGGAGTGAGCACAGTAGCCCACTTCGTCATTAATGCTACTGCTGTACGATTCTGCTGCGGCAGTGACGAGAATTAGATCCGCCCTCTTTCGTTTAATTACAAAGGTGCGTTTTGCGGCCTAATGATGCGTTGGACCCGGCCATTAAGGGGTCGAGGGCCCAGGCCTCAGGCCCGGGCTTCCCAGTTTGGAAACACCCGGCGGTCAGCTTTTTCCGAGTCTGCTGCTGCTCTGACCGACACGACCACTTGAAGTGTAGGCGATTCAAGTGCTTCGTATGATCTATCAATCTTCCGAGAGACTACTCCTTCAGCTTTAGAATTAGCATCAGAGCTCGCGGGTACCTAGGTTGGTCAGGATCCGAGGCCGTTGGGGTAGAATCCAATCTCGCATGGCTGAATTCATTTTCCGTTCATTTATAGCTAGAATGATAGGCCCAAAGGGCCGTACTCAACATCCTTGGTGTTGACCATCTGGATTTCAGGCCAGGGCAGGTCCGATACATCCGACTACGCTGTGCATTCTAGTAGGTGAACTTATCACAAATTCAGTCATACGGAATTGACTTCTACCGCAACAGCCTCGGACCCTGACCAACCTAGGTACCCACACACGTAGATTAAACATTTACGCTTACTCTGGTTACTGTCCTCCCTCGAGCCGTCCGATGATTCAATGTGTGACGCAATATATCCGTCATTTGAAACTCAATTCCGCTGGGGTATAAAGTTACCCAACTTCTTTGCCATACAAAATCAGAAATCGCCTTTGAAAACCCTCACAGTCAACTTCTCGTTAACATGCTCTTCAAGTGCATAGCTGTCTTTGCTGCGGGGATATCTGCTACCTTGGCTCAGACAATCGAACTAGGGTTCCCTCAGAATGGGGACAACTTCTCTCCCGGTCAGCAAGTGACCGCTCAGGTTATTCAACCGGTCGGTAGTTGGTTTGCTTCTCAGCATCATGCGTCACTCTGACAACTTCAATCCTAGGGATCAATGGCATCTGTCATTCAGGTTGGCATTGCCTTAGGAATCGATAACTGCGAGAACGGTCCATGCCCCGACCCTGCAGATGGTTTAGGATCTGTTCTCTATGCAGGCCCTTGGACACCTGAAAGCCATTCTGATGGTTACTACCAGAACTTCACCGTCACTCTACCGTCTTACCTTACAGAGGGTCCTGCTATCTTTACGCTCACGCATTTTTGCCTCCTTGGGGTACGAGATATTCAGTGTTTATCTTCATTCATAGTCTGAGGCTGATCTTATAGGCGGCTTCTGCCCCGTTCGTTGAATATCGCAACGCGACGGTGAACACCGTGTAAACGGTGGACGCTGGAGAGTGATTTTCATCATATGGACTCGTATGGGTGCACTGGACTCGGACCTGGACTCGTTATTTCGTGTCTTCATTATGGAGCTCAAGAACTTGATTGTTAGCGTACTAATGTAGGATCGGAAGAATTTGCTGTTTGTCGTACTTCGCTAGCACTCGTATATGCCATCGATCGATGTGATTACGCAGTCCTACAGAGTGGATACTGGGAGGTGAAACAAAAAAATTCTTAGGGACTCTGGTAAAACTTTGGAATCACTTCTGCTCGCAGCTTGCCACCAAGAAAGATTTGAAGACTGAGCATACATGTGTCAAGTGCAACTTGCAGTCACCCAAGTGTCGCGTTCTTCATTACATTCCGATAAAAATCAAGCAACTGCTACATAATACCCGCACAACAATTACCAATTACACTATGACCGGCGGGTGCCACTAGTAATGAACAGTAAGGTACAATACTCTCAGCAATTACCAAAGCAGCTAGAATTTTGCTACGACGATCGACTTTCCGCTCTTCCAGATAAAAACGACGAAAAAGCAAGTTCACTGCTCAACGGAGCAAGTCCCAGCTTCGGATTTGGAGGAGGTTCAGCTGTGACAGGTGATCCTGGCGTCTCTCCTAAACGCGAGGCAGATGGGAAGCTACCAGTTTGGAAGGAAGATAAGTCTGGCTTGCTGTCGAAGACCCCTAGAGCCGGATAAGCTTCGGGAGCAAGTAATGAATATTTTGCAGCGTACCTAGCTTGCGAAGCCATCGCTGCCGAACTTGGTGATATCCCCTCGATGGCAACGCTTTCTGAACCAAGTCCCACTTCTGTCCGTATTTGGCGACAGCCTATCAAAACATGTCAATGATTTGGCTGCTGTATAATCACAGAACACTGACCTGAGCAAGTAGATCATCCTCCTCCTTGCTCCACTTGACGTAAGGGCTTCGCTGCCTCTTTGGGACATCTTGGCCCACAACCCTAGTGACCTCTTTGTTCTTCGTGATTGCCAAAGATTCAATTCCAGCTGCGGGACCAGAACTCGGTCCGATGTTATCAGCGACCGAATCAGCGCTCCCTGCGTTAGTATTTCCAGGAGCGGTCTCGTGTCGCAGATGAGCTTGCAGATCAGACGGGGCATCTCCCCAGCTACTAATCGGGGCCGTGACTGCGCGTTGGTGTAGTGCAGATGATGAGGCCACACCGGTGGAGCTTTCATTCTGAGGAGAAGAAGGTACGAGAAATGGATCAAGGAGTACGGACTGACTGGGGGGCGTATCCACGCTGGGATCGGGAGTGGGCTCAGCGAGAGGAATACGCGGCGGTGTAGCCGCGCTGCTGGGAGTATCATGGATCGCTTGATCAGCCGAGTCAGGTCGTGGAGGAGGGGTAGGGGGTATTGTTATAGGCTGAGAGGCGGCTGCGATCTCATGGGTAGAACCGTGGTCCTCTGACGAAACTGGTATAGGTCCCTCGGTCCACTGAACTGGACGTAGATTTGGCGGTCCAGAACCCCAGTCAACTGCATTCGCTCGGGGCAAAGGTGAGGGGCGACGGGACTGAGGGGGCTGAGGCGCAACGTCAGATACGGACTGCTTTCTCTTTGACCTGCTTTTTTCTCTCAGCTGATTGTCGGGGGATTTATCAGCAATCGTGGAAGCCTTCTCCTTTCCTTTACCCTTAGGCAGTGAGTGAGGTTCCAATTGACTCTGTTGATCTTGTGAAGAGAACGCGGCAGCTTGGTCAGCTAGAACGTCCAGCCCTGATCTAATCCTGCCAACAGCAGTTGAACTGGAGCCAGCTGAGCTATTGCCTGGCTGTCCTGCACCTTGATCTCTCGTTTGTTCTCTGAGCGCACTGACCTTGTCCCGAGCGACGATTTTCCTGCGCTTCGGTACAGGACTGTCAGGTATATCGCTTGATCGCGAACGCCTCGTGCCAATGACAGTCTCTTCCTCGTCTTCCTCATTATCCATCATTGACCTTGCTGCACTCAAAAGGGAATCCAGAGGCGTTGGTGGGTTCTGGGTACGCGCACCTTGCTGCTTCTTCAGTTGGTGGGTGGAGGAAGATGCCGAAGCCGCTGTCTTAGAAGAGCTTGGGGTTTGTAGCAGGTGATGTGAATATGCCGGAACAAGCACCGGCACAGCACCTGGGCGCATAGAACTATTAAGATAGACGTACCCTGGCCCAGGAGGAACAGCTGTCATGCGCTTTGGTGTCTTGGGGGTAGCAACAACGGTTGAAGTTGATTCCTCTCGCCGCTTATCTAGGGCCTGTGTGAGGCCAGCCATTATGCCGGCACGTTGTTTTCCTATTCTCTTTGCCGCTAGCAGCAAGTGTTCCGTTCTTGCATCTGCAGTTAGAACTCGCGGAGCACGTCTTTGAGAGTGCTGGCGCTTGGAAGGATGTGTATGGAGACTTGTTGCAGCTATACGAGATTTCTGCTTTGGCGTGGTTGTAGGCGTATCCTCAGGGTCTCCTGGATGGTCATCGTCAGAAGGATCGGGGCCAGGGTCTTCGTCCTCCGTAGTTGGCGGATCTTTTCTTCTCCGCCGGTGTGGACGGGCCTTTGGTACTTGATTCAGGGTGGGATGCCCATTTAATGCAAGTGGTTGCATGAGAAGTAAGGGACGGAGGCGGGATAATTCACCTTCGAGAATGGAGAGACGCGATTGAGTTTCATGAAGCTGGTGGGAGATTAGCGATAGGGATGCATGATGGAAGGACGAACTCACTCGTTGGCGGAGACTTCGATTGTCTGCTTCAGTTATAGCATGTTGTCGCTCAAGCTCCTGAATCAAAGTCAGTTACTGGTAATCCGGAGAAAAAAGGGCAAGGAGGACGACAAAAGTGTAATGACTTGTTTACATGTCTATGAGACTAGCTTGCTGCCAGTAATATCGTGGCCGAGTAATTGGCGTGAAAAGTGATTTATCAAGACGAACATGCAGTCTTGCTAAACCAACATCTCTAAAAGGAGAGAAAAATTACTTACTTCATCCTTGTCAGACGAGCTCCTGTGCTTGGCCTGCTGTGTAATAAGTGCTTCGGCCATCCGTGCCCAACCATCCTTCTCTGAGTTCCACCGCAATCTCTGCTCCTCTGCCTGTCGCACAAGCATATCGCGCTGGGCAATTAGGCAGGATATAATCTCAGCCTGTCTAATGACTTGCTCTGGGTCAGGATTCACGATACCAGTTTCCCTCACCACCTATTATTATAGATATGAAATTCGAGTCAAACGTCCTGTGATGGTATGAAACGAAACATAACGCACCATATCGGGTAGCTCTTTCTCCCCTCCATCAAGATCATGCATTTCCGTGATATTCATGCGCACCTCTCGTATGCCATTGTCAATTTGGGGCCTGGGAGATGTGGTTTTGGGCCGGAGGGGTAGTTGAGAGTCATCCAGTGTTGCCAGTGGTGGCGCCGGGGAGAGGGACATGATATGAACAAGGTCATCAAGAGCCAAGGGTGGATATTCGTTGCTCATCACGACTGGCAGTGAGAGGCCGTGTCAGTACGGGTCGTGGTCGTCGTGGGTGACGATGAGCAAGGAGTCGTCGGCCGCAAGAAATCAAAAAGCCAAACAACGCCAACCCAACGCGCGGTGCACGTCACGTGATCTGTCGGAGCTGCATAAGCTGTAGTCATGTGACAATATCATCCCGGCTCCTGTTTTGGAGAACGCTACGGTGCGTTTCATGTTCTACGCGATTTGTGCGTGATATTAATTACTTCCATCCTTCTTGTGCATATCTTCATCATTGTTAGCGACGATGCGCTTAACCCCATTTCACCATCTGGCCCTAGTCATTCCCTCACTGTTTCTCACCGTTTATCTCTTGGCCAATTTCCCGCGACCACCTACTTTACCCATCATCCATACATCCCTAGCACATCTTCCGAGCTCATCGCCATCGTGGAATGTATATCCAGAGGACTTGTATAGTGGAGGTGCATATGCCAACTTACCTCTAGGACGGGTACGTACTTTGCTGAAGCGCTCTCGTGTTCAAGTGCTGACGCAGTACATTACCCAGGTGCGATATTGGCTCATAGGACCGGAGGACGGGCAGCGTGTGCGTTTTTTGTGTGTGCGCGAGTATCATGTACTTATCATGACTGCTAGATTGTTTTGATACATGGACTTTCCATCCCGGCCATCGTCTGGAAAGACGTAGCGCCTGTACTCGCCTCACAAGGGTACCGTGTACTTCTCTATGGTGTGTTGTTGTCTTTTGATGCGCATTATGTTCCGAACCCACTGATCTCGTAGATTTGTATGGTCGCGGTTACTCGGATGCCCCCGAAGTAACTTATGATACCACCCTTCACACCACCCAACTCGCGCTCCTTATGCAATACGTTAAGTGGGACAATGCATTCATTGTTGGATTGTCGATGGTAAATTTGTCTTCTTGCGTTGATCTACGGCCTAATCTTTCTTCTATTGAAAACAGGGAGGTGGCGTTGCGACTGCATTTTCAGCACAATTCCCTCATCTGGTAAACGGAAAAGTCGCTCTTATTGCTTCAGCAGGTATCATAGAGGTAACCGGCAACAAACGTGGCAAATACTTAATCTAACTTATCTAATATAGTCGAGCGATATCTCTCGTACGGCAAAATTCATGTCAACTCCCCTCGTGCAAACTGTATCCGCCCTCCCACCTTTCCAAGTAAGCTTGAGGGACTGCTCCCTTTTCTCTCCCGTCTGACTTTGACATAGCATTATATGCGTCTCCTTGCAAATACCTCTAAATCCTCGGAACCTTGTGAAACCAATCCGATACAAGAAGTCTGTTTTTTTTCATGACCACCTATCTTACAACTACTGAGTGCTATTCCCTCAGATTGTACGTCTCCAAACCGCTCATCTCCCTCACTACAACGCTGCTGTGGCATCTTCTCTTCGCGACGGCCCTATTCGCGGCCTACACTTTGCATTCCAATCGCTCGCACGCTCTGGCAATCAAGTGTTGCTTATTCATGTAAGAGATCGCCCATCGATGTGCCACTACAATGCTGACTATTTCAATAAAGGGCACATCAGATAAGACTGTCCCCTATAAATACGCTTCTATGATACAGAGTCTCGTACCGCAAGCCGACCTCGTCACCATCAGCGATGGTGGCCACGATCTCACTGTAACTCACGCATCCGAGGTGAACGCCTTGCTACTCCACTTTCTCGCCGACGAATACTCGTACAAGCCTCTCGGATAAATTTCACTTTATATAAGGGATGAATTCTTTTCTTTGATGATATTGTATCTGCCTCCGTACACACATGCTATTCACCATTCATTGTCGAACGCTATTCCATCGTATCTCTTATATCATTCTGGATACCATGCCTATCTCACGTTGTCCTCGCCTCATGTTGTCCTCGCTATTCATCTGCGTCACCTTTAGCTTTTTTCCTGTCTGCATTACTCTAGAAACATATAACTTGTAATAGACACATTTTCTGGGATGAACGAAGCGCTCTGAAATCAAACATCGTGCATCGATATATCCGCCTTATCTGCACGCGCGCCAATGACTGGTAAAATTTAAGCCAATGCATAAGCGAGGCGCTAGGTATCGTGTTCAAGGCGAATGCTTCTGTCTCTACATACTATGTTTATCGCTCACTCGTGTCTCAAGAATGATTTAGATCGGGGAATTATTACGTGCTGACGCCAATCTCGTTCTCCAGTTTCTTGAAGACCTCTCTAAAGATATCCGGAACCCATAAAATGGTTCGCGGCCTTCACAAAGATACAGTATCATCAGTTGGTCCATTGGCAGTGCAAGAATGGAAATTCCTTCGCCGACCCCGCACCGCGGAGTAAATATACTGGGTTTGAAGATGTTCCCATGCGAGCAATAGTTTTGACACGCGTAGCTCTCGATCACAGTGGGAGAGCCACTTTACCAAGCAATCGAGATGCATTGGTTTGTGGGGGATCCCGAGATGTATGTCTTCTACACCTCCATAAATCGACGGTGAAACTCCCTTGCGGTTTGATCGTCAAGTGGTCCAACCTGGTTTTATCGGCGCGATCTCAGTCTCCCGTGGGAGAGCGACTTCGACCAGGCGAGATGGTCCTGCTTCTGGTTGCGACTGACTAATTGTTTTCAATTCAATGTCTTCGTGCTGGTCCCTAAGAGATTGGGTTAGTGAATGAGTTTTGTAAACAAATATGTTTGGTATACCTGGGGGGCAGGGTGACTGTATCAAGAACATCTCCGTCCTTTTCGTCGTCCTCGAGTTCGTCATCATAGACTGGCCGAGGTTCCGGCTTCTTCTCCTTTTTCTGGAACCAGCTGAGGCAAAAGAAGAGAACATATGGTCGTTGCCCGTCGTCCACACCGACAACATCGGGCTTGTGAATGACATGGTCAGAATTCATCAACTCAACGTAATTATAGACAAACGTAGGTAGCTTGTCCAAGTGGAACATCGACAACTTTTACAGTTGTGCCTTTTGGTTCGCGCGCCTTTTGCTTCCCCTTGTCGGACGGCGACCGAACATGATTGAAAAAGGCCCTGGCACCGGGCAACGGAGTTGATGGAGGACTGTTTGCACGAGGGCAATTGAGAGGTAAGGGTGATGTAGCAGGGAACTGCAGCGCGAGTGTTGAACGAACTGCGAAAGAAACAAGAGGAAAAAACATACATCTAATGGATCACGAGTTTGACCGTTCCCACCAGGGTGTCCTGTGGTTGTGCGAGGAGAGAAGTGAAGAAATTTTCTGAGGCGAATAAAAATGGGTTGCTGCGAGTCTATTGGAGGCGGAGGTCCTGGAGCCATAGGTATTACAGATGTTGGTGGTTTGCGGCACCTAGCAGGACGACGACAAGTTGCGTCAGACTGCAGTGATAGCAACAGGTGAGTGGTGTAGTAATGAGTAAAAGAATAAGATGCGCACATCTAGTAAAACACTGCGGGCTGACTTTTTGTGTGCACTGGTCTGTAAGAGAATGTCAACACACGAACAATAGATGGTTGAATACGTACACTGGTATGAACAAGGACGTCAGGTGGAGTATTACAGATGCAGATCTTGTAATCATCTTTGGTGTTTGTCGTGTAAGCTAGCTGACGTGAGTCAGGTGAGAGGATAAGGGCCCGAGGATTTTGAACGTTGAAGGAAGCGAGAAGTTGGCGGGACTCATAATCCCAGAGCTTGATGGTGTTGTCAAAGGACGCGCTGACGAGGAGAGCGTGATAAAATGAAAGTGCTAGGCCGGTGACGTCCTTGGTATGCCCTTCAAAGGGAGCTCCGACAGTCTCCAGCGTCGACGCATCGAACTCATAAATTGCACTAGCATCATCGTCTGTGGTGAAGTTGAGTGCGGCCATGAAGTTTTCGTTGTTGTTTGTCCAGAATATTGGCGCAGACGTGCCTCCTACCTCATATTCCCCTACTCTGACATCCAGTTTCTGCGACTGGATATCCCAGACCTCAAAAGACCTCCCTACATTTGACGTCACTGCGAGCTTTTTCGAGTTTGTTGATAATCGAATTGCGCCCACCCAAATGAGGCTCTCGAATGGACCAGCTACCAGTTTACCGGTCTCCAAATTCCATATCCGCGTTGTTTTATCTTCTGACCCACTCGCAAGCAGCGTGTTGTCCATGGAGATATCAATGCAGTTGATCCTCTCCGAGTGTCCTTCGAATGTCTTCACAATCCCAGTCCCAATCTCACAGGCTTTCAGCTGGGCACTATTCCAATCTCCACCACCAGTGACAATCCATCGACCATCTCTTGATATTGCCACTGCCCATACCCTCCCCTCGCAAACACCCCGCGCTTCCTTAATCTCTTTTCCCGCCTTCATATCCCATTGCCGAACGGTCTTATCATCAGATCCGCTGATCATTTGCTGGCCATCTGGACAGTAGGATATAGATCGAATCCATCCTCCGTGACCCTTCAAAGTTATTGACGGTGTCAGGATCGATGTCGTGGCAGCTGCCTTCGACATCGGCACACAGACCATGGCTATGTCTCCGTCAGCAAAACCGTGAAGTAGTATGGGCAAGGTATTCTTTTAGAAGCGTTCAAAGGTGCAAAAGTGAGGTCTGCTGTTATCAGTGCGCGATATGACTGACGCTGTCAGCGGTTTGAAGATGGGCTCCTGGTCAAGCCAAACATCAGTTCATCCGCGTTGGGGATACAGATAGATTTTGGTGTTACTGAGAGGCCAGCGCTTTAGCAGCGAAGAATTTGAGGAGTGATGAATTTCTGAATGTGAGTGCAGCTATTGGCCTTAGGCGCTGCTTTGCACATATATACCCTACCACACGGCAGCTGTGCATTGTGCCCTGCATCCTTTTGTTCATCGTATGTGCTTCTCCACGGGGGCATTAGAAAAATGCTGCGCCACTGGTGCGACTGCTGTGGTAAACTCGGTTAGGTTGCACAGCATTTGCTCACGCACTCAGCATCATGCTTGCACAGGACAAGCGCAGCATCTTTGGGGCGCATTCGATTTCCCCAGATATTATACCATGGACCCGCAGGAGGGATTCTATTCTCGAAGCTGCATGGACGACCCTTTTGAAGCAGACCGAAAGAAACACAGATGTGATCCATACAGATGTTGCCCTGGAATATCTGTCCATCTTCGAACAGCGCCTGTTGGAGAAGTCAGCTCAATCGGGTTGTACAGGAAACTATCAGCCGGGCCTGGATGCTGGAAACCATCAATATGGCTGAGTCCATATGCTGGGCTTCCATCCCACTGGAACCACGAGCATTGCAATGAGGGAGATCATCGGCATTGAAACGGCAAGTATTCCAATTGAACCAGTAAGTAATCAATACAAGAGGGTCAACTGCTGGGCATGACGAGAGTGGCACTTAAGCGAGGAGATCCGAGAGGGAGAGAAGATAAACTGCTGATCAGGATTACTAACCAGGTGGAGATGGTGGACTGCGGGTCGGTGTCGAAGATGGTATGGTATGTGTATCGCTGGTGCTGGAGAGTTGAATTCCTTGCGTACTGACAGTGACTCGCCTAACTGGCCAACGTTAGAATGACAGCCTGAGGCCTGCATAACTGCCTAGATACAATTCATGCGAGAGTTAATCTAGAATTAGACACGTACTTGTTAACAACTGATCAACATCGGGTCTGATGTAACATGTACATCGTTGTTACTGGCGAGTTCGATTTTGTTTCCAGTGCATCTGCAACAAGACCTTCGACTCGACGTCTGCATAACAGCAACTTGAGATGTGGGCAACTACCTGGATAGAATTCGTGAGGACGAAGTTAGAATGCAATATGATACGTACCACATCCTTATGAACAGCTGATTAGAGTTGGCAGGCAACATAGATAAGAAAACCATTCAACTTGCGAAAGTGACATATGAGCATGCAGCATGTCAATGAAATTTCTGTGTCTAGAGGAGCAGTGTCATATGGAGTGCGCGCTCAAGGATTCAGGAATGCCAAGAACACCTGATGGTACTCGGGGTAAGCAGAGAATCGTGAAACCTCAAACCTGACTGACTGGATCATATGGGACAGTAGCAGTAGCATATCTCGTCAACAAAACATGCGTTGGTGTATTTCAAGTCCAACAACGATTCGAGCTTATCGTTATGGCCCGAAAACACCCCAACACAAACAATACGCCAAAGTGAGGAGAAAATTTGACGGCAATAGACCCTTTCGTGTTGATGAATTCAAGCTACTGCAGATCAAGAGGGTTTTAGTGAAAGAAAGCAGGTTTCAGCTCCATCGTTGAAATAAATGATGATTGAAGAGAATATCGCTTTGATCGGTATTTATTGTTGTTTGGTATACAGGATGGGCCCGGGGTTTGCCCGGGGTGGTGTTGACGGTCCTATACTGAGCCGTATATGTACCGTGCTTGATTTTCATCATCTGGCTTAAGTCTCTCTATACCGGAGAGGGATTGAGATCTTATTCAGATCAAATTTGAATGTTCTGAACGTTTGTCTTCAGTGTTTACAGTCTTCGGTCTCTTCGCTCACAAGATCACCCAACGCCAAACATCCTGGGCTTCTATTCCCCACACGCGGCTCGTCCTAATGAACCTCTCGCCTATGCAATCGTCCCATTAATGCCCCAAGGTAACAGACCCAAGAATCCTGTACTCACACATTCCCACAAAGGTTCTGTCACAAACACTCACCTCCTAACGTGCACGCACCACCGTCATCCACTTCCTCTGCGCCAGTCACCACCATCTCATTACATGCGCTGTCACGCCTCTGAACTTCTAAATACTGATACGTCTGGCAAATTCATGGTGCGAGACGCTGAGGGGGCTGTGAAAAGGGAGAATTGAAAGGCAATGGGTGGTGGTGCGAAGGAAGACAGTGAGTATTTACGATAAGTCTCAGCCACCTTCATCCAATTACGCAGAAAGGAAGCACTGGCAAGGAGAGTACAGTCAAATGAAAGTGCTAAACTTTCAATGGTCCCGGTGTGCCTTCAAAGGAACCTCCTACAGTCTCCAGTGTCGACGCATCGAATTCATAGATCGTCCAGGCGACGTCAAGACTCAACCGTAAAGGTGAATGCGGTCAAGATGTTTTTGTTTTTGTTTGTCCAGAACACTGGCACAGGTAGGACTCCGACTCCAGAGTTCAACTTCCCTATCCTCACATCCAACTTTTGTTTTTGAACATTCCAGACCTCAAGGCATGTCCCCATATCTAACTTGACTGCGAGCTTCTTTGAGTCTTGCGAGAATCGAACTGCGCTCACTCAAGCGACGCTTTCGAATGGACCGGCTACGAGTTTGCCAGTGTCCAAGTTCCATATCCGCACTGTGAAATCTTTAGCCCCGGTCGCCAGCAGCGTGCTGTCCGCAGAGATATCAACACAGGTGATCTGACTTGAGTGTCCTTCAAATGTTTTCACAATCCCAGTCTCGACCTCATAGACTTTCAGCTCCAATCTACACCAGCAGCGACAATCCAGCGACCATCCACCGATACCGCCACTGCCCATACATCCTCCTCGCGAATACTCCGCGCTCTCTCGATCTCTTTACCCGCCTTCAGATCCCATCGCCAAACGGTCTTATCCTCGGATCCGCTGATCATTCGCTCGCCATCTGGCAAGTAGGATATCGATCGAATCAACCCTCCATGACCTTTGAAAGTGATTGACGGTGTCGGAATCTATTTCATGGCAGCCGCCTTTATTGTTGTAGAAGCTATTGCTACGTCTCTGCAAGCAAAACTGTTTTGCAACCGAGCACAGAAAAGGTCTTCGTTGGAGGACAGCAATGATAAAGAGGGAAGAATCCTATAACGTGAGCGAAGTTATTATCTGTAAGATGTGCTATTTATTCTTCGATTCGATATTCAGTTTCTGTGCTAAAGGATATCAATTCGTTGTCTATTCCCACTGTGCGTTCTAAGTCTTGGCGTATCTGTATCACGAATAGCCGCCGGCTCGGCGTCAATTGTGTCCACTCCGTCATGCTGTGCAGCTCTGACGCCCGTGACGTGGATATACATATAAGGAATCGAAGCACGCTCGAATCTGTGGCTCGTTTGTAAGACAAGCAGTAGTAAGTGTAGTTGATACGCACTCACCGGCACCATTTGGGAACACCGCAGCAGTCGCAGCAGTGGCGCAGCATTTTCACGAAGCCCTAAAAATGAATTTGACTGATGTCAGACGACAGGACGGCATAAAAGCCATAGCCAGGGCAGGGGATCATTACATCGTCAACTAGCTACAATGGCCTCTCCCAAAGTCTGGTTCAGCAAGTGTTTCCTCTACTCGCTAGCAATTTTACTGATACTACGCACCACACACAGTAACAGGGACGTCCTCAGGATTCGGAAGATCTATGACGGAGTATGCACTCAGCAAAGGCGACATCGTAGTAGCGACCCTCCGCAAACCACAAGTCCTATCCGACCTCGAAGCTCGATACTCAGCAGACAAGCTCCTCGTACTCAAAGTCGATGTCACGAGGCAAGAAGATATTGACGAAGCATTCGCGCGCACACGTTCGGTGTTCGGAAGGCTAGACGTAGTGTTCAACAATGCCGGATATGCACTTGCCACAGAAATCGAGGGCACATCGGATGATAAAGCGCGTGAGCTTTTCGAGACAAATTTTTGGGGCGCGACGAACGTTAGTCGTGCTGCCGTGAAGTTTTTTAGGGAAGTGAACGAAGTGGGCAAGGGGGGGACAATCCTTCAAGTTAGTTCGGTTGCTGGATTTCATGCGCTTCCTGGGATGAGTTATTATGCTGCATCGTGAGTGCGGCTTGTATTTGGTGTTCTTTGAGATGATGCTGAATCCTGATGGATTTGCAGTAAATATGGTAGGAATCTTGATGTGAGAAGTGGAAAGTGCTGATGATTGATCTGATGCATAGCGCTGGAGGGATTCTCAGATGGTCTCACAAAAGAGCTGCCAGCTTCCTGGAACATAAATGCCCGTTGTTCTTTCCACCAATAAAGTTTTACTCACAACAAGAAAACAGATCTGCATCATTGAACCCGGGGTATTCAACACAAACGGAAACAGCGCAGCAATGATGTTGCCGCAGCACCCAGCATATGCTGACGAGTCCTTTCCTGCTTCCGTGCTGCGTCAGATGCTAGAGGGTGCGGTTATGGAAGGAGACGCAGACAAGCTCACGCGGACTGTGTATGAGGTCGTACAGGGAGGAAAGATACCGAAGCGGTTGCCTATGGGTTTGGATGCGCTTGAGGCGCTGAATTTTAGGATTGATAATTTAAAGGCGACTGTGGATGAGACGAAAGGATGGTCGGTGGATTTGAGGAGAGCTGATGGGGGACTCAGAATACGTGCCTAGAGTTGTAACAGGCGAGCACACGTGAGGGGGAGGAAGAACTAGATCGATAATGTATTGTATATTGGTTCGTTATCCAAGGGAACGGAAATGTAATGCTCGCATCTCAAGATGACTGAAATGTTGGGACGACGAAGGCGTTCTTTTGAGTACGAAGTAGTAGATACGAACATATTGATTTGAGACCAAAGGCTCGCCTGAAAAAACGACTCATTGCACTCGTACCTAGTATGCTATAGTATCCAATTTTAGCATCCGAGCTTCTTCTTTGCTCGCTCTTCAGCACAGCTTCGCTTTGCATGCCAGCCGACGCTTGAACAGTTGTTATTGATACTGTGGGACTACACGGAGATCACCTTTCCTCAATAATATACGTCCTCACATACGCGCTTATCCAACATCCCTGACAATCCACCAACCACAAGATGTCTACCATATTGCACGCTCTGATCACCTGTGAATGATCCGATCTCTGACTGTCTCTGACGCTGAGATCAACAAGTGAGTAACCATACACAGAATTTAGAAGGGCCAGAACGATGCAAGACTTATCATGTTATGACCGCCACCTTAGACCCGCTGTCCAGGACCACTGCTGCGAAGCTTCACATACGACGAGGGTAGCATGCTAGAGGCATACGATCAGTGAAGTTGTGACAACAGCGTTGGTACTGATAGGACACTCTGCAGGAATACCATCAGTCAGCTTGCGCGAGTGAAACTACATAAACTGGCCTTGACTGTGCGTTATGACATCACAGGTCATTGCACATATAAACCAATCAAAATACACGCAATCTTCTGCAGTCGTCGATATCGGCAGCCCTTCAAGTCTCCCGGAGAGAACGCCACTACTGATTCATTTTCATTTTACACAGAAACAAATCAGAGATGGGCGAGGGCAGTGAGACGGAACAGAGAAATTTACTCATCATACAAGCTAATTCTGGTCGACGGCGAAGGTTATCCGGGAATTTGGATCAGAGATTGGACCTAGTCTCTGAATCTGGAGTGACAGCAACTGGTACCCTGCAGGTTGTCGAAAGTTGGTGGCTGGAGAATCGATCGGATGCGACTGTGTGAGAGGGAAGTTTTAAAACTCGCCATTAGTACCGCAAAACAAGGGAAGTGCGAACTGAGTGTCCTATGAATAGGGACGGGTCTCAAGTCAGCCTGCTTCATGAGTGAGTGTATGAGAGATAGAGATGAAAAACAGGTTGACGTGACCCGCGCACAACTTTGAAGCAGATGAAATATGGCTTTTATCATATCTGGGTCAAAGTTGTCGCGGATTGTGTGAGATGGGAGCTAGACACGAAGTAAGTGTCAGCGGACGGTGAAGCAACGCTGAGGTGGACTGCGTACGAGGAGGAGATTAAATACAAAAGGTCGACAAGTCCGAGACGGAGAGAAGCGAGTCCGAGACGGGGATGATATGTCAAGAAAGGAAAAAGGAACACGTAAAATGTCCCGGAGGTTAATGCTCCGGGACTCGTACCATGCGGACACACTCTTCTGTTCTTAACGCCTTAAGCTTGACGTATATAGTTCCTGCTCATTAGATCTATCACTGCCAGAAGTCCGAATTTCCAACAGTGATCGGAGAATATGAAATGCCATTCTGGGCGGAGAAGTCAGGTATAGATGCAGGCCTCGGGCTTCCTTTTTTTCAACCTTCCGGTCCGAAGTTGGAATATCTAAATTGTATCACCTGCCCGTCAAAGGATCGCATAAGCTAGTTGGTGTGAGTCGGGTGAGAGAACAAGGATAAAAGGATTCTGAACATCGAAGGAAGCGAGGAGTTGGCGGGACTCGCAATCCCAGAGCTTGATGGTGTTGTCAAAGGAAGCGCTAGCGAGGCGAGCATGGTCAAATGAAAGTGCTATACTGGTGACAAGTTTGGTGTGCCCTTCAAAGGGAGTTCCAACAGTCTCCAGCGTCAACGCATCAAACTCGTACATTGTCTTGGCATAGCCAAAGGTAGCGAAGTTGAATGCGGTCATGATGTTTTTGTCGTTGTTTGTCCAAAACACTGGCGCATATGTGATTGCTACTCCAGGGGACTTGCTTACCCTAACATCCAACTTTTGCAATTGGACATCCCAGACCTCAATGCACGTCCTTGAAGTCACTGCGAGTTTCTTCAAGTCTGAGGAGAATTGAACTGCGCCCACCTGATCAACGTTCTTGAATGGACCAGCTACAAGTTTCCCAGTCTCCAGGTTCCATATCCGCGTCGTAAAATCATCAGATCCACTCGCCAACAACCGGTGTTATCCGCAGAGATATCAATGCAGTTTATCCTCCCTGAATGTCCTTCGAACGTTTTCACAATCCCTGTCTCAACCTCACAAGCTTTCAATTCCCCGCGATCTCCATCTCCATCACCAGTAACAACCCATCGACCATCCCTTGATACCGATACCGCATACACCTCCTTCTTGCCAACATCCCGCACTTCCTCAATCTCCTTGCCCAACTTCAGATCCCATTGCCGAGCTGTCTTGTCCGGAGATCCGCTGATCATTCGCTGGCCGTCTGGAAAGTAGGATATGTATCGAATCCATTTTTCGTGACCCTTCAAAGTCATTGATGGTGTCAGAGTCGATTTTGTGATGGTGGCTTTCGTCGACGTGGAAGCCATAGCTGTTTCCGCGAGCGAAACCGTGAAAGAGTACCGGAAAGTATTCTTTGGGAGCGTTCAGAGGTGCAAAGGTGATGTCTCCTGGTATCGAGATGAGATTTTGGTGTTACCCAGAGTTTAAGACTTTCGCAGCGATGAACTTGGGAGCGATGGATTCTTGAATGTGAGTGCAGCTATTCAACTTCAACGGCTTCTTACCCCGGCAAGGACCCCGAAAACCTTCGCTCACATATATCCGCGTGGCGACATCATGATTTCAGACCTCAACATTGCAACTTTCAAGACACCTCCCAACATTCGAATCTGAGAGTTTCTGGAGTCCATTGAGAATTGAACCGCGCCTATCATGCCTTCGCTCTTGAACGGATTAGCCATGTTGAGGTTTTCAGTGCATCTGCGCAACACGAGCACTTCAACGACTCAACAACGACAGAGCGTCAGCTTAAGACATGGGCAACTGCTTGGATACATTTTGTGAGGATGAAGTTACAATGCAATTCGATACGTACCACGTCCTTATGAGAAACTAATCAGCTGGCGGGACTCGCAAGCTCAGACTCAGTGTATGAGAGAGAGATAGAGATGAAAAACAGGTTGACGTGAACGCTCACAACTTTGAAGCAGACGAAATACGGCACCATATTGTGTCTGGTTCAAAGTTGGATTATGTGAGAAGGGAGTTAGATCCACGAAGCAAGTCTCAGCGGACGGTGAAGCAACGCTGAGGTGGACTGCGTACGAGGAAGAGATTAAGTAAAAAAGGTCGACAAGTCCGAGATGGGGAGAAGCAACTGATACACGAGGATGATATTAGATGTCCAAGGTGTTAAGAGGATCAAGAAAGGAAAAAGAAACACGTAAAGTGTCCCGGAGGTAGTGATGTGCACGGCCCGGCTTCAGGCCGTGGGCCGGCCAAAGCCGAGCCTGATTAGGCCGAGCCGAGCCGGGCCCAAGTCAGGGCCTGACCACGGCCCAAGGCCCGGCTGTTGGAGTCCGAGGCCGAAAGATCCGAGTCGAGGGAAGCCGAAGGATCCGAGATAGGTACGAGGGGGAGATGATAGGTACAAGCTCAAGCCGAAACGGACATAGGCGAGCGATGCATGACATCGGCTCGCGTCCTAGAATATTTTCAGTCTCTCTTTTATATATTCAAGTTCCTGACGCACTCACTATAAGACCAGTAGCAGTATCGTATACGCATCTCAGTTTCGTCCAAGACACTGAGATGTATGTTCTAAAAAGTCACCTAGAGTTTTATCATGTCTAACGTTAGCTGTAGCTTTTGTCGTTCTAGGTAGACGCACCGTTAATAGAGTTTCGTCCAAGACACTGAGATCTTTTGTCGTTCTAGACTCCTCGTTGTTCCCGCGCTCGTCATAAACGCCTTTACCGGCTTGAGGTGTTGAAAAGCCTGAGCCGGCGGCTCAGGCCGCGGCTTTTTGTCCCTTATCGGCCTCGATATTTCTTCGTTCATTCGCTGACAATCTGACAGACCATCGAAGACAAGCTCACCTATACTCGTCACGAACCAATTGGTGTCGTCGTAAGTACACGTATATCAGCTCCCAGATCATCCTCTGATGTTTGTCTGATAGGGTCAAATCATCCCATGGAATTTCCCATGTGCGTTGGAGGCCGCTGCGAAGAGCAACCTCAAAAACGTCACCCTTGAGCTCGGTGGAAAGAGCCCAAACATCATCTTTGACGATGCAGACCTCGAACAAGCCGTCAACTGGGCTGCATTCGGTATCTTGTGAGTATACCGTGTTGTCATGCAAACTACACTCATATTTCACCAGCTGGAACCACGGTCAGATGTGTTGTGAAACTCGGTATGCGTGCACGTTTATGATACGATATATCCGCTAGCGACGACGTGTTCAGGTGCAAATAAGAGCCTCGCGCGTCAAGGAAAGCACTTTTAGCATGGAATGCGAGGTAATTCCATTTCACGCCTAGCCCGCTCGCTCGCTGACAACATCGCCTCTCAACAGCTCTACCAATCGATAGACATCACGCACCCGGTCACAGGTGAACACAACAGCATGCTCATCCTTGTGCACGTCAAGTACTTCCATGTGCGCAAAGACATGCTCACGGGCAGACGCACGATACCAGCATCCATGCCTACACGGTTCATGAAGTTCTTTTAGTATCTCACCGTTACACATATGCTTAGATTGAATTTCAGATCATTTTGTTCTTGAAAGCCGTCGTTGAGCCCAAGCCGAGCCGCGGCTTTGGCCTGGCTTGGGCTCACGGCTCGGCCTGAGCTTTTGCAAAGCCCAAGCCCCCCAAAGCCGGGCCTAAGCCGGGGCTTTCAGGCCGAGCCGGGCCCGCACATCACTACCCGGAGGTTAAACGTTAATCCTCCGGGACTTGTACCATGCGGACACACTCTTCTATTGGACTCTCACTTATCTCCCTAAAGGCAGTCCACACAGGAAGCATCGAACACTATATCCTTCACTAAGCTTCTCAAGAAGGTACAGTTCTTGGCGCTTCGTGCCAATATGCGCATGTGCACGAAAGAAGGTCGAGAGGTTTGATGAGATTCGTCTTGCAGCCGGTGAAGATGTGGGTAACGGGTAGACGGGAGTGGTTGTGGATGAGTGATATGGTCTCGAAGGGGGGAAGTGTGGTAGTGTAGAATGTGGCAGGCCATACTGTAAGAATAATACATTAAATACCTACAATTGTAGATGAAATGGGATACAATAATTACTGAAGTCCATAGATACCTATCATTGTAGGGCTGATATATCAATGGAGGATCCTGTCAGGACACTCCCATAATAATCTCACTCCCATAATAATCTCACACCCCTAATTTTCGCATTTTTGGCCACCTACTGTGGGAATTTCCCCACAACACTTAAAAATAGATTGCTTCTCCACATTTTCGCATTTTTAGCCACCCCACTACACCTAAAACATCACCCATTTTGGGAATCTCCACAATATCAATTATTCCCACACCCTCCCCACCTCACTGCAGCTTCACCACCACACCACAATAGGTCCCCTCTTGTATCTAAGTAGTAGTTTGGTATATATATGTACAATATAATGTAATAGACTGCTTTTTTTGCTTATTTGTGTGCCTGCTCCTCCTCTAGAGGCCATTTAACATATGTTAGAGTAAAGAACACTTTCGCACTTTTGCCCCTTTGGTGGGAAAGTGTTCTATTATATTCAAAACATGTTTATGAGCATATATGAGTATATTCCCATCTTTATTTGACCCCCTGAAGCGCCCTACATCAATAGATATAGCACATATGCAAGAAAACACAGAATATGTTCCTATTTAATTATTTCTAGGTGGACAGACTTGGAAAAATGATTCCCAGTATCTATTCAACAATATGAACAATGTATTAGGAGCCCAGGACCATGGGATAATTTCCTGTTGCATGGTGTGCCCCCCCTCTCCTGGTGGTTTACCCCCTGTGAAAATTTTTCCTGCAGGACCGGACCTTAATTGAGGTGAGGGGTCTATTTCTATGTATATTTGGAGTAGATCTATCATATAGCTGGCCCAGAACACACATAGGATCCTGCTACAAGAACAAAAACATAGAAAATCTCACTTTTGACACTTTTGATGTTTTTTAGTATCTTACTTTTGCATAAATAACCATCCCTGCTCACATATTATCAGTAGTACATTCACACATATGTTCTATGCCAAGGATCAGCCCTACATAGGGCGCAAATTTGATATCTGATGTACAGGGGGTATTTCTACTGATAGAAAACCTACAGAGTAATCCAGCCTGTGATAAGTGATCAGATACCTGGGATACCTCTTATATATGTCCCTAATGATGGATTTGAAGTTTTAGAAAGATCAGTGAAGGACTGACTGAATGACAAGTAAAATGACATATGTGTGAAAAGTGACAATTGACATCTTTTGACACAAAGTCACATTTATATATGGTACAGGGCAAATATTTCATTGAAAATATGTAGGATATATGATAGACTACTAAATGAACCTATGCTACATACTGCCCTGAGGTTAGAGGGTGATGGAAGGAATGTGGTGTATATTTGAGTTGACCCAGCATTAAAGTCCTACTGCTGCCCAACTGACCATTTTCGATGTTTTGAGTCTTTGAACTTTCCCACACTCAATTTCTTATCTATTTCACTTCCTCAGCACTCAATTCTTGTTGGATTGTTTTGTAAATTTAGGTATATGATAGTGAATGTACTTTAAATCTACTCCAAGTGTCTGATTATTAAATTTCGATGTTTTGAAAGTATGGGCTCCTTATCAGTAGAAATAGCAAGTATCTACACTAGCTCAAACCTCCAGCCTATTTTGAGCTGATCCTTGGCATAGAACATATGTGTGAATGTACTACTGATAATATGTGAGCAGGGATGGTTATTTATGCAAAAGTAAGATACTAAAAAACATCAAAAGTGTCAAAAGTGAGATTTTCTATGTTTTTGTTCTTGTAGCAGGATCCTATGTGTGTTCTGGGCCAGCTATATGATAGATCTACTCCAAATATACATAGAAATAGACCCCTCACCTCAATTAAGGTCCGGTCCTGCAGGAAAAATTTTCACAGGGGGTAAACCACCAGGAGAGGGGGGGCACACCATGCAACAGGAAATTATCCCATGGTCCTGGGCTCCTAATACATTGTTCATATTGTTGAATAGATACTGGGAATCATTTTTCCAAGTCTGTCCACCTAGAAATAATTAAATAGGAACATATTCTGTGTTTTCTTGCATATGTGCTATATCTATTGATGTAGGGCGCTTCAGGGGGTCAAATAAAGATGGGAATATACTCATATATGCTCATAAACATGTTTTGAATATAATAGAACACTTTCCCACCAAAGGGGCAAAAGTGCGAAAGTGTTCTTTACTCTAACATATGTTAAATGGCCTCTAGAGGAGGAGCAGGCACACAAATAAGCAAAAAAAGCAGTCTATTACATTATATTGTACATATATATACCAAACTACTACTTAGATACAAGAGGGGACCTATTGTGGTGTGGTGGTGAAGCTGCAGTGAGGTGGGGAGGGTGTGGGAATAATTGATATTGTGGAGATTCCCAAAATGGGTGATGTTTTAGGTGTAGTGGGGTGGCTAAAAATGCGAAAATGTGGAGAAGCAATCTATTTTTAAGTGTTGTGGGGAAATTCCCACAGTAGGTGGCCAAAAATGCGAAAATTAGGGGTGTGAGATTATTATGGGAGTGCACTGCGTGTTGTCCAAAAATTCCGACGGCTGAGAGTTGGCGGAGATTCTGGGGGGTCCCCAAGGTTTCAGCCATGTCACCGCCACCAAATATCAGCCAGCCGGTACTAAGTCGTAAACTTGATACTCTAAGTCAACGCTCCGCGCAACGATGGCAGATACTATAGCTATCGGCCGGGCCTCCTTGCCTTGATTTCCCCTTCGTATATACGGCGTCGACTTAACCCTTCAACACGCCTCAACGCATACCCAGCTGCAGACCTACCACATTAGTACATATAACGTTAACCCATAGCTAGGGTTTATTCGACGACATGCAAAGGCAACTCTCTATAGTGTCGTTGGTTCTGCTAGCGCTGCTTGTCTCCAACCAACACAACCGACACCACATCACTGGAGCCTTACCTGCCTGCCATTTGAACATCTATCGCGGCCGTCGACTCGAGGATAATTACAAGTATGAAGACTCATGTATGGCTTGTAATATACATTGTCTTTCAAAGACAGTCCTTTGATCACCTGTTGGATCTGATTCATAGCGCCGCTTGTGTCCTTGCACTGTGTGTACACCAGCAGGTCTGTACCAGACAAGTCGAATAATCAGACTCCATGTCACGAGAAACGGATATGCTCGTCGTCAGCCAGGTCCAATCGCGAACAAGCTTGTGTTCGAAGATGACTTAGATCAGGAATTCGAAAACTCACAACCTGCTGCCAAGTATGATTGTCCACCCTCACGGGCCTCACCTACCCTGGGCGAAAATGAGTACTTTGATCGCGAGGCAGACACTGATATCATCATGGGCATGGATGAGGATCCTGTTGACAGAGACTTTTATGTTGACGAGGATGTTCGTGTTGACGGAGACCCCATCCTTCGACAGAATTTTAGCATGCATCAAAGCGACGGAGAATACCCTTCCCGACCTGATTCCCCTCCTCTACACTTTCCAGCATCTGATGATGAGTCTCTCGACAATCAAAGTATACTTTCTCTCGATCTCGGCACTTCTGCTATCACACACGACGAGCATCACGAATGGGTTAGTACAGGTGAAGATATCGAGGGAGGTGACAAGCACGTTTGGGACCCAGAGGTGGATCCTGAATACTTATCAAACGATGCTGTCCTCGAGGATGGCCTTGCACAAGAAGACCAGCCTAGCGAGCTGGAGGATATCCTCCCACATGCATTATCAGAACATCCAGCTCTTCTCAATGGCTACTTGACCGTGTTTGTCAATGCTGCATACCGACATGCAACACATGCAGACTCGGAGGCAACACTTACCCTCCTTCGCAGTACAATCAAAACATGCTATCAGAATATTGGTGGAGTTCCCCCAGAACTCGAGCTAGATAACATGGCTCGTACTCTTCGCACTGTGGAAAAACGCCTCGGTGTTGACACCAGCAAGATTATCACAACTTATATTCTTTGTCCGTCGTGCTGGAAAATGTATCATCCCTCTGAATTTCGCACTCTACAGAATCCAACCTGCGCAGCACCAGATTGCTCCACGATGCTGTTTCAAATGAAACGCACAACATCCGAGGGCATCAAAAGAATTCCATTCAAGGTTATGCCAGTTGCATCATTGAAAACTGCTCTTGCGAGGCTCCTTATGCGTCCAGGAAAGTGGGATGAGCTTCAACACTGGCGAAGAGAAGGAGATCACGAACCAGCACCACCTATTACACAGCAGGAATGGTATGCGACGAAGGCACTTGATGAACCACTCCACGATATTTACGATGGTTGGATGTGGAGGTCTGTTCAGACAGGCATGGTACGTGAGTGGGATGAACGGACACGGAAGGTTAAAGATATGGATGTCAAAAATCTCCATCAAAGATTTGTGTCGCTAAAGTGTGGTATCATGGTGCATATTAACATTGACTGGTAATGTTCAAACTCTCTAGCTCTACCTCTTGTTAATATCAGCTCTAGGTTCCGAGCTTTGAAACGTGCCAACTACTCTTCTGGAACACTTTGGCTCACCATTGACAATCTTCCACGATCGATTCGATTTCTTCGTGAAAATACATTCCTTCTGCTCATCATCCCTGGCCCGACAGAGCCAAATACAGAGCAGTTAAATGGCCTTCTTGAACCGTTTGTTCAAGAGCTCGAAGATCTCAGTGAAGGTATGTACATCACAACACTTAGTAACCTATTGACGTTGATAACTGGAATAACAGGAGAGTTCTTCAAGGTTTTTGGACATCAAGATCTCGAACAAATTCATGTTGCGCTTCCGTTTGGAACTATGGATACACCCGCTCGTCTCAAAACAGCTGGGTTTGTCTCGCAAAACTCAGAAGAGCATATGTGTCCATGTTGTGACGCACCATTCTCCTCATTGGTTGATCCAGTTTGCTTTGATCGCTCAAGTAGGTATTTTTTTTTCATATGTATTGAGTTCTCATGCTTTTGCAGAGTTCTGCTATCGGAACTCAGAGAAGCAGCTCAAATGGAAGTTTATATACAGAGATTCTGATGACGCTGACACTCGAAAGAACATTGCGGAGAGGAAGGGTGTCCGTACTTCAATTCTCGACAGGCTTCCGACCTGGAATGGAGCACTGAGCATTCCGTCAGAAATTATGCACCTTTTCTGGGGCCCAGGTGTGTTTTCAGCCTTTTTGGTTGGTTGTGAGCACAGTTTAAACTCTTTTACAGGTGCTTCTGGTCAGATTCACAAGGTCATTCTCATCGAAGGTTCCATGTTCACAGGGACGGGAAAACGGGGAGAAATCACACCCATGGATCGACTTACTGAGTTTCTGGAATCCTTGTGGTGGCCGAACAATTCTGGACGGTTCCAAATCAAGGTAAGAGACTCGAACTTATGGCTGATGATACTAAATCATGATGACAAGATTGCTAGTGGAGGAGAGCGTCCGAAAGCAGATGAATGGCGCAATTTTATGCGAGTTTATCCAGTTGCACTTGCGGTTGCTTGGCAGATGTGGACACGTCAACAGGATGAAGATGCGCCGGCTCCACGCAAGCGTACAAAGGTACATCAAGCAGTCATTAAATTGAAAGAGCTGCTGCATAAGCGTTGCATCAAAAACCTCGCTCGTGATGAAGATGCACAGGGTGAGGATTACATTGCTCTTGAAGATATTGAGGCGAGCCGTAACTATCATGATCACTATCAAAACGTTCTGCGCTACTGTACGGCAACACAGATTTTTGCCTCTCAATCCATCACCCCTCAAGAGGCAACTCGAGCCTCAGATTTTATGTCTGAAGCATCACAGTCGTGGGCCGCAATGAACTGCCACCTCACACCAAACTTTCACTTTGCTGGTCATCTCCTCGAGTATATCAATACCTATGGCCCAGCATATGCCTGGTGGGTATTTCCATACGAGCGAGCCATTGGTATCCTCGGCAAGGCTAACCACAATGGCCATGGAGGTGGCGAAGTTGAGGGGACGTTTATGAGAGCTTGGTGGAAGAGCATTTTGATACAGGAACTAGTGTGGCAACTTCTATTAATTCACTGTGTCTTCGCTGATTGTCTGTTAGTTGATGCACCTACAAGCCCGGCCCAATCAAACAGACGAGGACAAGGAAATTGTCCAGTTGTTGTTAAAAGCGGTCAAAGGCGGTGCGGAACATGATCGCCAGAGAGGAACACTCCTAAACTACCTTGCCCTTCTATCTGCACTGAAAGACTCAGGTCCGTGAATTTTTTATTGATTGTAGACATGAACGAAGTCCAGTTCCTAGTAGTCAAGATCACTCTCCCCAACCAATTCAAGATCGTTGCCTTGCGACCTCTCAACATATATCCTATCGTCCTGCATTTCATTCGATGGAAGTTCCCTCACCTAAATCTAATCTCGGATGCTGGAGAAGCATTGCATGGGATTCCGTTTGAATCCCGCGGTGCCAAATCGTATGCTACAGTAAACATGGGAGCCACAAAATATGGATCTTCACTTCATCATCGCGGGAAGGGATTCTGCTATGGTTATGTCAATGGCAGACATGCAGCTCGAGTCGACTACATCCTGTCTGTCACTATCCCTCATCAAAATCCTCCTGTGATTGTCAATTTAGCCCTTATCCGACGGTTTCAAGAGCCCACTTTCAATATCGAACATCCATGGTCTTTGTCGGCAACTGATCTTGGAATTGCGACTTGGAAATACAATGAACTCGGCAACCTTGAAGCTTGTTGTCTTGAGGACCTTACAGGTCAGTTTGCATTCGCACACATCCGCATTCCTCACGCCGGTCATTTCTGGGTCACATTCTCCTTGGACACTGTGAGTGCACAAGTCGAAGAACTCTGTTGAATCAGCTGAACTTCAAATAGACCACTCAAGAACCTGATACCAACGACAACGAGCCTGATGAGAGTTAACGAAGAAGTGCGGAGATGGGATCAGGCGCAGGCATGGTGGGTTACAGTAGCACAAACGAGGTATTACCATTTTCTGGAATCAACAGTATTGACAGGGAAGTGGGTTCTAACACGTCTCCAAATACCAATAGTGTCAGCAACATTTCTAATAACAACGCCAATACCTACTGCGAACGCCAACTCGAACTCTAACATAAGTAACTTAACCTGACTTGGATGATGAGGTTTCGGAGTATGACATGTCTGCATCATGATCATCAGTCATAAGTGCCTCCTGCCGTTCACGGTCTTCTTGCATCAGGCTCTTGAGCCATCGTGTCGAGACTGCCCATCGTGGCGTCTTGAGGGTGTTGTGCTGTGGCAAAGAGTCTGCTGGCCGAGGTTGTCCTTGTTGTCGCAGCACTCGTTTCTTCATCCAGTTCTTCTTGTCCGCGTCCCGTTCTGCAACAATCTGTTCGACTTTGTCCTTGATAAGCTGAGAAAGATTACGATACTACATTGGTGGAGGTCAGAAATGAATCAAGGGTATAATCAAAGTACAACCTACGTCTTTTGAGCGCCATGCTGGAGGATGGGTCGTGAAGATGTCCTCCTTCTTTGGCTTCTTGTAAGCTTTGCGTCTCTTGTTAACAACAATGTCGACCTCGTCACTTGAACTCTGGTGCGAAGCATCGGAGGCGCTATAATCCGTTGACTGCCATTTTGATGTGAATGCAAAGTCGTACTGCTGGTCCTTGAGGTCTGGAAGATTTTTGCGAGCCTCGATAGCGAGTTTAGATTTCTGTATCAACAATTTGTTAGAGTAGGTACGTCAACATATCCAGCCTCACATCAATCTGGCGCTTCTCACGGCAAGCGATGGCAACATTCAGAGACTGAAGTCCAATCGGCCTGTTTCCCTCCTTGTAGCTCTCCTTCAATGTCTTGAACACCTTACCAGCAACACTCCGTAGTGTCTTGTCGGGTATCTCTTTGATGGTGTCTTGTGAGAGCGTGGGCTCGTAGTTGCTTGCATCTCGGCGGAACCGCTCAAAGAATGACTTATGCCATTTTGAATTATTGGTCCATGAGTCGGGCCATTTCGGTCGAAGAACACGCGTCGCCATAGTAGTCGTGCCGTCGATATCAAGGAAATCTATCTCTGTCCAGTAATTATCCTTCCCATCGAGAGAATCAGGAAGAGCTTCATTAAACTCGATACCCATCATCTTGAACAGCACTTGACGGATTGCACTCTAAAATCACAGTCAGAGAAGAGACAGTCAACGAGGACAAAATGACTTACATTCATTGCATTGTTCCGAACACCAGTGGCAACAAGTGCCGCTGGTTCACATATCTCAAGGGCCTCGATCCGCTTGATGAGGCTTTCAATCTCCCCCTCGAGCCGCGTTGTCATTGCAGCATGGTGATCTGAGAGCCTGGCCTGCTCTTTGCGAAGTCTTAGGATCTCTGTCTGCGAGCTCTCAATATAATTGTGTTGGCGACTTGCTTGGAGCTGAGTTTTCGAATGAGCAGAGGCTCGTTCCTTCTGGCTCGGTCCCTTTGCCGGTTGAAGTAGGGTACGTGACTCGAGCAAGTCATCATCAGTGTCATCCTCATGAGCAGGGGGAGTATGTGAAGCCGCAGCCATACGCTGTGCAGATTTTGCAGAATTTGCATTGCGGGGTGTCGCAAACCAGATAGGCTGCATCAGGTTACTATTTGTCGGCTTCGACTTTGAAGCCTTTGAGGCGAGGCCTTTCTCTGTGAGGAAGGGACGTGAGGAAGGGACTGGCTTGGGTGTGGTAGTGCGACCTGTCACTGCAGCTACTGGTGGATGGGATGGAGGAGCAGAGCGAGGTGCTGAGGGGGCGGGTAGTTTCGAATACGAAGCTGGCTTAGACGATGAAGTTGGACGCCCAGATGGGGGTGGCGCCATGGAACTGGGACGTGTGCTTGCTGTGGGATTATGCATGGTTGGGATCCTATAAGATTTAATTAACAAAATGCAATCACAAAATACACCAAGGCTACCTGGAGCGTTGAATCTGCTTTAACCTTTGAAGAACTTGAGATTGTCTACTGCAGTCACACGATCAGTAGTAGCGCAGATAATGGCAATCTTCAGCTTACTTCACTGGCAGTTGACTTGAAGTTGCACATGACTCATCCAAACGTTTCGACTTTTGTGCCATTACAGGTGATCGTGAACTAAACCGAGAGCGGCCACGGTCTTCGATATGGACATGAGGAGAGAGAGACAGTGTAGAAGCCTCCGGGTAAGTGGTCAGCGCCTCGATCTTTCGCTTCTTCGAAGAGACATCCTCCTGTGAATCGGAGCGGAGACAAGGGTCTATAGAATAGTCTGGCTCGTACTGATGTCGATAATTGAGCGACTGGTTGGCAAGACGAGAGAATTGCTCAGGCTCCAAATCAGAGTGAGGGGTAACGGGTGAAGTGAAGCTTGAGGCATCAGCTTCATCCGAAGTACCGGTTGTCATATCGGACGGAAAGACATATTGGGGCTCCGGAGCGTTCAAAAGGTCACTGAGACGCACTAATTATTGTAACAGTCAGTCTGTAATACACTGTTACAAATTCAAGCAACCTACTCATACAATAATGAACTCAACAAGGACGTTTGCACTTTGATCCGCTCTGTGAGTCGAATGTATGCACTTGCAGACTGCAGTGCGCCGGTATAAGTATAGTCAGACTTAGTTTGGACTTAGTAGTAATAATATTACTTGCTTAATCGAGAACCCCACATACGCGGAGTTTGAAACTACCTTTGCTCTTGACGTCGTCCAAGTCGTTACCCGTCGTTCACAGTTGGTGAGTGTGTCGATCCTCAACAGCCATGCTGATCAAGTCGTTGCCCATTGTTCACAGGATGATGTGAGTGTATCGACCCTCGTTTGAGCAACAGCCACATTGCCCACCGATCCTCAACAGCTATGCTGATCCAAGTCGTTGCCCACTGTTCGCAGAGAGTGAGTGTATCGATCCTCCTTCGAACAACAGCCATGCTGATCCAAGTCATTGCTCACCGTTCGCAGTTTGTGAGTGTGTCGATCCTCAACACCCATGCTGATCAAGTCGTTGCCCACCGTTCGCAGTCTGTGAATGTGTCAATCCTTAACAGCAATGCTGATCAAGTCGTTGCCCACCGTTCGAAGGATGATGTGAGTGTATCTGTCCTCCTTCGAGCTCGAACCATGCTGAGCCAAGTCGTTGCCCACCGTTCGCAGGAAGTCAGTGTGTCGACCCTCATTCGAGCAACAGCCATGCTGATCAAGTCGTCCCCGACCATTCGAAGGATGATGTGAGTGTATCTGTCCTCCTTCGAGCTCGAACCATGCTGAGCCAAGTCGTTGCCCACCGTTCGCAGGAAGTGAGTGTGTCATTACCCACAGGTCGCAGGCTCACATGGGTGCGGTTAAGGGTGCGGGTGCGAGTGAGGTCTCCGACACCTCAGGGTTTACCCGTACAGATCCTTAGTTATACTTGTATCTAGCACGGAGTAGCAGTCTGCTACCGCAATTGTATGATATATTGGGTGGCCACCAGCTGAATTTGACCGGCCATACACGTGCAGCAGGAGTGCTATATATATATATATAATTACAGCGCTCCTATATATATTAATATTATATATATGTATATATTGTGTATATATAATATATAAAGCTCGCAAGGTCGCCCTATCGAGGATAGGCCATGGTTTCAGCCGGTGTCGACGAGAGCGCGAAACCTTGACTGCTACGTAGAGGAAATGCGACAAAACCGCCATGTTGACGCCGGTGTCCAACGAAGGCGCTGACGTGGCTGAAACCTAACCTAGGGTCAGGTTCTACCCTCGTTTCATACAGCCGAAATTTTTGATAACACACAGTGGTGTCCTGACAGGATCCTCCATTGATATATCAGCCCTACAATGATAGGTATCTATGGACTTCAGTAATTATTGTATCCCATTTCATCTACAATTGTAAGAAGTGATACATCAAACCTACAGGTACAGGTGTTCCGTATGACCGAATTTGCACCTACTAGTACAGCGTAGTCAGATTTGTCGGACCTGCCTTGGCATGAAATACAGATGGTTAACACCAAGGATATTGAGTATGGCCTGTCATTCTAGCTATAAGTGAACAGAAAACAAATTCAGCCACTATGCGAGATTTCGGAATTCTACTGCAATAGCATCGGATCCTGACTAACCTAGGTACCCGTGCACTCTGATGCTAATTCTTAAGCTGAAGGAGTAGCCTCTTGGAAGATTGATACATCATACGAAGTCGCCTACACCGTTCGAGTGGTCGTGTCGGGTCAGAGCAGCAGCAGAAAAAGCCGGCTGCCGGGTGGTTCCAAACTGGGAAACCCGGGCCTGGGCCCTCGATCCGCATCACTAGTACGGCCGCAAAGCGCACCTTTGTAATTAAACGAAAGAGGGCGGATCTAATTCTCGTCACTGCCGCGGCAGAATCGTACGACAGCAGCATTAATGACGAAGTGGACTACTATCATGATGCTCACTCCACTCTGTCTGGACTCACCATGCAGGAAGAGACACAGAGACATATGCTGACAAACACAGCCGACGATCAATGAGTATGCATATAAAGATCCCAAGCGTAAGCACTCAAAGATTTCATGGGGATCGAAGACCGTAGATATTACTGTGGTGAATAGAAACTTAATTGACTCAAACTTCAAAGGCAGACTGAGTACAGCCTAGCTCATACCTTTCCGAATTCGCCCCACGACGTACTTATAATTACTTTGTACGAGTTCAGCAAGACCGGCTTGTAGTTAGCATGCATCATAGTTTGTATGTATTCATGTACAGTATGTCATAATCATAATATATAGTAAGGGTGAAGCTGCGACGATTCAAAATACATAGAAAGAAAACACATATCATCCAACGACTCACCCGGAGCCTAATTGAAGTTGTAAGCTTCATCAAGACGGTTGGCATAATATCTAAACAACAACAACTCTTCCGGTGACAAATTGTCCATTTCGTGAAGACCCTTTTCCGGGCTGTCGGTAAGCTCTTCCAACTGCTCGTCCGAAGCTGAATTGACAGGTTCTTCAAGACTCTTTTCCAGGCTGACGGTAGACTCGTCCAACTGCTCGTCCGAAGCGGAATCGACAATTGCATAAAGATCGTCGGCAAGCGAGCCTAAAGCCGAATCGATGGTTTCTTCAGGATTGTTGACCGACTCTTCAATCTGCTCGCCAGAAACTGGTTCGCAAGCTGCCTCGATGTCGAAAAAATCGTTGAACCCCTCGTCCCAACCCGAATTCGTAGTCTCGTCAAGACTGTTGTCGGACGGTTCCAACGACTCGCTCGAAGTCAAATCGGTAGTTTCTTCGAAACTGTTAGAAAAAGGTTTATCAGCTCCAAAGTCACATTTAAAAGCCGCGTAGTACTTACGCTTCGACATATTCTAGGGATGGGGACCGAGCCCTGACTTGCTGGTGCTTCTTCGATTTGATATGATCTTGTATGCCAGCGCGTGGCACTGCAGGCACATTTTCGCACTGCGGCAGGCAGCACCTGTAACGGACCTCGCCGTTGTTTTGGACCAGTTCCTGATGAAATTGTCAGTATGATAGCTAGCACTAAATACAAAATGGACTCACGAAATCATAGTCAACAATGGGGTGAATCGTTTGCTTCTTTCGTGGGGGAGCATCATCGTCATCCAAGTCCACCGCCTTGCGCTTTCCGCGTTTGATAGCGCTTTCCTCAGCGTCAGCTACTGGTGCTTGTTGCTCCAGATATGTGTCGTGGGAAGGTTGTGCCAAGGGGGGTGCGGAAGGATGTTGAAGCGGCGCAGCCGCTGGCGGTACACCCATACCCTGGAAGGCGGCGGGATACCCACCCAAATGGTGTGGAGGAGGGGGAGGGGGAAGGACTGGGTTTGGCGGTCCGGGGACTTGGCCAGTTGCGTGTAAATATTGTTGATAACAATATACGTAGACCTCCGGGGGGTAAGGTCTGAACCGCGAGGGCACAAGTGGAGGCTGGGGCATCATTGGGGGGTAAGGATGAAACCCAGGTTGAGGCGGGCCTGGGACTGGCATTTGGCCCATTTGGGTCGGCTGCTGGTACATCATTGGAGGGTAAGGATGTTGAGGCGGGCCTGGGACTGGCATTTGGCCCGTTTGAGTTGGCTGCCGGTACATCGTTGGGGGGTAAGGATGTTGAGGCAGGCCTGGGACTGGCATTTGGCCCGTTTGAGTTGGCTGCCGGTACATCGTTGGGGGGTAAGGATGTTGAGGCAGGCCTGGGACTGGCATTTGGCCCGTTTGAGTGGGCTGCTGGTATATCCTTGGGGGGTAAGGATGATGAGGCGGGCCTGGGACTGGCATTTGGCCTGTTTGAATCGGCTCCTGGTACATATTGAATTATCTAGAATGGTTGAAATGAACGATGTATGGCGCTAGGCTCCAGCCTGTGGCAGGACAAGGTGAGTGACAGAAGGTGAAGTAAGTATACAAGAGTAACTCACAGTACACAAGTTAGATGGTAGATGCGGAAGGCAAAATGCGATGGATGGATGTTGAACAGGAGGAAAGAGACGCAAGTTGCAGTATTTAAACTGTCGAAGCAACCACTACTAGCGGATGAACCCATTGCGCTTAGTCTTAACGCGTCCCTTTGTTGCGTTGTGGTCAACAAATTGTTACCCCGGGCCAAGCAACACAGATGCAAAGCAATGCATCCACTGACCTTGATTCCGACAATAGTATGACACGGAGGCCACCCGGATATTCCCCGGCGCGACTGTGGATATGTTTAAATGGGTATTTATTCATAATCATTGAACACGGCACGTTAAATATTATTGAATCGAGGGTATTCTCCCTTTGGCTGGGTATGTTCTTCGTGTATGCGCTCCAGGAGTTATCGACAGACTTAATATTGCCATCTGAAATTGTATATTCAAAATCCATTAATATAAACACATCGGACAGCAAGCCATGGTTATTAATACTAACGAGGTAGGTATATGGCCAACCACCAATAGAAGGCCGTGTCTCCGGATTGTCGGGCACACTCCACCAGGACATTGGATGCGAATTCCACACCTTAGAAACTCATGCAACCGCTCTCTCCTCTCACAAATAGTGGGTCCTTTAGTAAGCACCTCGCGTTACAGTCTCGCGTATGCTCACCACATCCACAAGTTATCTGCATCCGAGGAACATGTCAGACGTCAAGGGACTATGTGAGCGAACGTAATAGACATACCGTTAAGTAAAATACGCCAGTCTCATGGATCGCCTCACAGATGTCCTGTAAGGCCACCACGCACCTGCGGGATTTTGGTGAGTGCTGATTATTAACTTCACATTCTATTTCACTTGGAATAGATTGACATGGGAAGACATTGTCTACCCGTCGTGGACATTCTTACAACAGACCGAAGTCTTCGTAATTTCAAGTCCCAATGGAACAGGATAAATGATCTGCATAAGCCAACGCGCTGTGCCCGCGTGTAGTGAGTGTCCGCAGTATCAGACTCAGGATACGTGGTGAATAATCGTGACCTTCGAAACACATTTCCATCAGAAGGTATTTCGGCGCGCACTACGTCATTAAAAGCGTGCAAACACATGACTGACTCTATCCCACCCGATGCAGCACTGACTATCAAGAATAAGAATCAAAATCAAAATGCTTACTGTCCACATTAGGTGCAACAGTTGGGCCGAGCGTGTCAACATCAAAGCTCAGGTGAATATGGCGATTAACATGGTCGAGTGCCATCTTGACCACCTTGCAGATGCCTACCGTCACCGAGTCAACACCTGCGCCCGTCCCTATGAAAAACTCGACGCACCAATCAACCTCGGAGATGCTACAAGGTTCGCTTCCGAGAATATAGCCTTGTCCACGTCCTGCAACTTGACGAAGATAAAAACCAGTTTAAACTTCGCAAGGACGGAGGCCGGGAATTGATGGAGCACGAGGGATCAAAGTTGAGGAGAAATTCAAGTGCGTTCCGTTTATATCTCCTCTGAGCGGACTGAACTATGTTTATATATCAGCATGGGCGCTTATCAGACGACCATTCTCTCTGGTCGAATGTCAGTTCTGTGGAAGGAGTATTGTCTAAACAGAGAAATTCACCTCACGGTGACAGAGACAGTGCCAGACCAGGTGCGTTCAGTGACTCGTAAAGTCCTTGTTCATGGAGGCGAGATGCAATGTTTCTTCAGTAGACTGACTTACAAGGGCTGTATGTCGTTGCATCTGCTGGACTACCACATGTGGATAGAATAGTCATTGAGCCGACTGATATCGCACCTTGAGACCGCTAACACCTTTTCGAACACTTCATGTGGAACTTGTAGTGGAGAAGGATGAGTTGGGAATGTTTTCAAAGTGATTTGTGCAGTGAGGGGTGAGTCGCAGTTCCGAGTCAAGTGGAGCGTCCTTCTACACTTTGTCTCTTCAAACTCCGACAAATCATCCATGCCTTCCATTGATACACCTTGCATCTCCATCGATGGTATTTGGGATGGCCGCTCTCCCGAACTTTATTCCCATCCTGCGTTGATTCGTGCGATATATAAATATATCACCGGTTACCAGCACCCATAAGTCGTTTTCTCTAATAGTCGTCGCAACAGCTCACGTACGAGACATCACGGTACCCTTCAACGTTCCTGCAGAATATCTTCGAATCTCCCCGTTTCCCACATTCTATCAATACTTCTTTCAAGTGATCATTTGCTTGCCCTAGGACTGTGATCCATGTCTGTATCTCGTTCGGTGCTTTACTCTGATGGTCGTGCTTAGCGAGGGTCCCAATAGAATCTCGCAGTCGATGCCTCATCAGTAGTTTCATAGGTACGCCTCCGATTTCCTTATTCTCCACTCATCACTCAGCAGACCCCATGTCCTTGTCAGGCTCATTCGCGAGAGAGACGTACAGTCGAGCCACGAGTCTACGTGATCCATTCATTTCATTCTCCGTGGTCCATTGCATGGAGGAAATCACATCTTAGCGCTGAGCACCGCCGAGTTATCAGCTATCTGGCTTCACGATTCACAGTATCTATATGTCCAGACAGTGGAACACCAACGCGCAGAATAAGCTGTCCAGGCACTTTTCCTGATTCTCGTTATATTTTAACATCAGTCATCAAGGACCAGTTCGGTTGCTAGTCCTTCCGGACAATTTCACCTCACCACGTAGTTCAAGCGCGGGTGCTTCGTTCCAGTAGTGACACAACGAGAAATAGGTTTGCCTGGACCTTTTAAATACACTTCGAAACACAATATATATGTTGAATAAATACCACGACGGATCCTCCACCAAATTTCTCCTCCCTGCAGACCACTCGGCAAGCATTTCCCTACACAGTACTGCTAGTTGATACATGTACATGCTCCTGGAAAACAATTGAATTCATGCTAGTTTCTGCGTCGGAGTATGCCACGAGTTTCGCGCTGTATTCTCGAACGCTCAGGATGAGGCGTGGTCCCAGCACAAACATATATACAACCAATGAAATTTGAACAGTACCAATGAGTATCTGAGCTCCAATAGAAGTCGAATTCTATAAAACTGATTAACAGTGGTTACATGCAGATGTTGGTGACAGGTCAGCGCACCGAGATTTCTGGAGAGAGATCAGCAAGCTGGATGCAAGAGACACCAACAAAGCTAACATGTGCGAAACTTGAGCAGAAAAATATAACCGCGTTCACATTGCAAGCTCACCTCACAAAATAAAGAACGTGAGATTGTACCAGCACTCTGAAACAGTCCCCGATGGTCGATCCTGTCGATGGGCCGAGTCGTCGCAGCTCACGGAAGTGTTTCACAGCAATCCAAACTGAAAGACACAATGCGAGGACCTCCCAAACAGTGTTGAGTATCCAAATGATCGAAACCAGAAGCTGGTCGTCCCCTCCATATACATAGCCGCACATATGTATACCAGAGAGTATCGTCTCCTCTGGTGTTTGTCCAATTAGCCGTGTTCTTCAGGTCAACAAGTAAAGCTTACCTACTACAATACTGTTGAATGCTATTACCATCATTACTCCGCAGGCAATGTTTACAGCCAGGAAGATGATAACAAGGAACATAAGCATTGCTCTAGACCCTTGATACATGGCATGCAGCCGAGCAATCATGATGACTTGCATCATGTGTCAGTCGGGTCCATATCACAGAGGTATTGCACCTGGGTCACTTACCGCCCAACATGGCAGTCAAGGCCACATTTGTCACATTGCCTACGTAGTACGTCATAGTGCCTAAAGACTCCCAATTAGTGAGCACCCTCGCATTAGTACCAAAGATTCCGACTTACACCTATTGAGTCATTATATCGAGTCAAGTTTGGTTGGAATCTCACTCACCCCTACATATGAGCGTATTGATTGGATGGCAATGAGATGGTTGCAGAATACTTACTGCATCTGTCAGCGATACCGATGGCATAGTTTCTGTGTCTCGCCGGTCAGGAAAATGAAATACAGCGCGTATGGGACGTACACAGAAGTTTGACACTAGTTGTAAGAGATGAGCTATTAGCACAGTGCAAAGTTGTTGATCTTGACACATACAAAGAATATGGTATTCCAATATAGCGTATCTAGAATATTTTGAAGTCAGCACAAGTTGCCCACCACACTGAAGCACAACATGAGTACGAACAGTCAAATACAGCACGGTCATGAGAGACAAACGTTGTCTCTGTCATGAATTCAGTGCATGCTCTTGTTTTCTTCTCATACGGGACTCTTGTCACTCACCCAGATGAGTTCAATCTAAGACACCATTCTCAGTGAGATGGCTGCTGCTGCGATAACATCGATGTACCTCTTGTCCGAGTGTTAAGACTGAAAATATCAATGAGAACATCAGCGATTTTCTGACACTGTCCTGCTCACCCCAACCATATACCACCACGATGGCAGCAGCAACTGCAAATCCGCAAGTCAACGTTGGATCCAGACATCTTGATGCGACAAACCTGCGTAATAGTTTACAACAATTGCCGCACTGATATATGGCCAGTAACTGGGATCATTTGAGACGTAGGTCATGTTCGAGGGATGGGTATGAGCGAGTGGGGAATGTTAGTGTATAACGACAGCGTTCATGTTAGATATACCACCATTCAGCGTTTATATCTCCAAAATCAGTATAATGGAGATGCATATTTGATCCTGCCTCGAGACCCTTGATCAGGTGAAACGGGTCGAAATCAGACAAAAATAAGCCCTAGATAATCAAAGTAGAATTTGATTTACAAACCAGTATTGCGCATGCGACTACTCGGACACCAGAGAAATTCCAGTGGTTAGTGATATCGCAAACTTATTTCCAGTGCAATGAAACCATGTGGCCATCGATCTAACCATGATGTGATCGCAATCATGATGAGCATCTGTGTTCTCTCAGCTTCGCTGGCCAAGCTCGAGACTTGCTGTCAGCTGATTGCTTCCTGTAACAAGGTCGCATTCTGGAATCTGTAGTATGGCAAAAGTCAGAGAACAAACACAACAACGCACTCTATTCGGCGGATCCGATCGCGCACTTTATGCGACAGTGATTCATTGCACTGGCGGATACATCGTGACTCATGCTGTGTGCTTGAAACCTGTTAAATATAAGACGCCGTACATACTCGGTCGAAAGAGAAATCGTACATGGGAGACGAGAAGCCTGCAACAGGTAACAAAGCCTGATTTCTGATTGTACAGCCTCGGTCAGTGGCCATTGTATTTCAGTGATGTTTGCAGTGCCGACTTGAGCAGGAACCGGTAAATGTTGCGAGCTAAAAGCGAGGTCCATCAGATGAGCAAAGAACGCCATCATCAAACCTTCATCATGCTCAGCAATTTCATGTACAGGCTACGAAAGTCGCATGGTAGTCTGATGCTTGTACTACATGCACAGCAATCATACAGACACATCGTTGCTTATCCCACCTTCATGAGGTGCCAACAATACAATTCGAAGTAGTCACATGTCGCAACATGCAGATAGGATCGCATCTTCACAAGATGAAGCGCACGGTAACCATTCCATTTTCCATCATCGCGTGGAAATGCTCAGCCTGGACGATGCCGCAATCGCCATAACCTAGAAGACTTGCCATAAAAATGTTGCTGTACCGTACTATGTCCGCCCTTTTTGTGGTTCTCCAAGCGTTTCAAATGCACAGATAAGGTTAGGTGTTCCCCATGAAGAGGCGGGTCTCCATGTGTTCGTGGCCAGTGTTGAAGCTTATCTAAACTTTAATCAAAGCTTGTGGCCAACTTGCGGCGCTACCTTCGGCGTTTGCGGAGTCAAAAAATGAACCAAGCAACTGCTGTAATAGAATTGTGCTTACAGTACTTTCTGCAAGCAATGCTGTTCCAGAACTCACACACCCTTGTTACCTCACTCGCATCGCTCATGGAAGATGAGATCTTGAGAATCGACCTGCGCGTCACGGTGAAGCTCGACGGACAGGCACCGTGACTATGCCATCCAAGCTAGAATGAACAACTATCGTATTTGGTCTGCCTACATAGCACTCAAGTATATATACGAGACTGAAGTGTTACTCCTGCGACAGATCCTCCAGAGACGTTCTTCCTCGCGCTCAGAAACATTCTACTACCCTTCTGGAGGCCACCCTTTTTTGAGCTCGGATACATCATAGTGAGTTTTTCTTCTTCTATCAACTACCTTGTCACAGACACGCTACTACTTTCCCTTTTCCTTTTCCAGCCCTTCTCTCTCTGTCTGTTCGTCCAGGTGACCGATGAGGCCATGCTGTGATAACTTCTTCAATGTCATGGTGTCATCGGCCATCTGGCTTTTATGGATTATTTTGGTTCATTCAAATGATCAGTTTCTTTCGTGTGCTACTAGTAAGAGTTCGACAGGCCGTATATGCCCAACGCACGATTCTGCAATCACTGTCAGTTCTTGGTTCTTTTTTGTTCTTCTTGCTTCGTGCTCAGATATATGGTAATCCAGGGCATTCATGAATGTGTCAAATTCTCGGATGATCAACCATCTGAGCTCGGACACGCTACTTCTACTTTCCTTGGTCCATGGAATTGTCGCATCGCGCCCCACCCGAACGGCTCAGACGGATGATGACACAGTAGATGCGACAGAGCCATTACGTCGCAAGCCATTCGAGCTTCCATAGATCGTGCGCACATCTTCTGCTGCCAGTCTTTGTGTTCAAATAGCTGACAGACGGTAATTTTCGCAAGTGTGGAATGTGGCCTATCAACTGTCAAGCTCAGATCCAGACACGCCGCTCGTGTACTACCTGGGCGAGCAGATAACGACCTCTCGAAGTGAATTGAATACTGTCTGATGGTTATCTCTTCGTACTAGGGTGGCTCTGATTAATATCAGCGGGTGTATTGTATGTATGCATCTCGCTCGGTGCGTTACTATGACAGTCGTGCTATTTGGCAGGATTGAAACAGATCGTTGCAAGAGTCCTAATGCACATCTGACACATGATTGTGACCGTCGCTACTCTGATCAAAGTATACCAGGGTCCTAAAATTTCATGATCGGCGTCTCACTGATACTTTTGCAGGTGCGCTTGTGCCATCTGCCTTGAAAGTTGAAGCCCCAAATTTCTTCTCTTCTCACTACTCACTACGCATGGTGTTCTTGCCACACATTCGTGACATACTATCGCATCTCCATCGATAGTACTTGGGATGGCCGCTCTCCGGAACTTTATTCTCATCCTGCGTTGATTTGTGCAATATATAAATAAATATATCACTGGTCACCAGCACCCATAAGTCGTTTTCTCTATTAGTCGTCGCAACAGCTCACGTACGAGACATCACGGTACCCTTCAACGTTCCTGCAGAATATCTTCGAATTTCCCCGTTTCCCACATTCTATCAGATACTTCTTTCAAGTGATCATTTGCTTGCCCTAGGACTGTGATCCATATCTGTATCTCCGTCGGTGCTTTACTCTGATGGTCGTGCTTAGCGAGGGTTCCAATAGAATATCGCAGTCGATGCCTCATCAGTAGTTTGATAGGTACGCCTCCGATTTCCTCATTCTCCCCTCGTCACTCATCAGACCCCATATCCTTGTCAGGCTCATTCGCGAGAGAGACGTACAGTCGAGCCACGAGTCTACATGATCCCATTCTCCGTGGCCCATCGCGTGGAGGAAATCGCATCTTAGCGCTGAGCACCGCCGAGTTATCAGCTATCTGGCTTCACAATTCGCAGTATCTATATGTCCAGAAAGTGGCACACCAACGCGCAGAATCAGCTGTCCAGGCACTTTTACTGATTCTTGTTCATCAGTCATCAAGGACCAGTTTGGTTGCTAGCCGTTCCGGACAATTTCACCTTACCACGTAGTTCAAGCGCGGGTGCTTCGTTCCAGTAGTGATATAACAATAAATAGCTTTGCCTAGACCTTTCAAATACACTTCGAAACAACATATGTTAAATAAATACCACGACGGATCCTCCACCAAATTGCTCCTCCCTGCAGACCACTCGGCAAGCATTTCCCTACACAGTACTGCTAGTTGATACATGTACATGCTCCTGGAAAACAATAGAATTCATGCTAGTTTCTGTGTCGGAGTATGCCACGAGTTTCGCGCTGTATTCTCGAACGCTCAGGATGAGGCGTGGTCCCAGCACAAACATATATACAACCAATGAAATTTGAACAGTACCAATGAGTATCTGAGCTCCAATAGAAGTCGAATTCTATAAAACTGATTAACAGTGGTTACACGCAGATGTTGGTGACAGGTCAGCGCACCAAGATTTCTGGAGAGAGTTCAACAATCTGGAGGCAAGAGACACCAACAAAGCTAACATGTGCAGGACTTGAGCAGAAAAATATAACCGCGTTCACATGACAAGCTCACCTTGCAAAATAAAGAACGTGAGATTGTACCAGCACTCTGAAACAGTCCCCGATGGTCGATCCTGTCGATGGGCTGAGTCGTCGCAGCTCACGGAAGTGTTTCACAGCAATCCAAACTGAAAGACACAATGTGAGGACCTCCCAAACAGTGTTGAGTATCCAAATGATCGAAATCAGAAGCTGGTCGTCCCCTCCATATTCATAGCCGCACACATGTAAACCAGAGAGTATCAACTCCGCTGGTGTTTGTCCAATGAGCCGTGTTCTTCAAATCAACAAGTAAAGCTTACCTGCTACAGTATCGTTGAGTGCCATTGCCGCGATTACTCCGCAGGCGATGTTTACAGCCAGGAAGATAATGACAAGGAACATAAGCATCGCTCTAGACCCTTGATACATGGCATGCAACCGAGCAATCATGATGACTTGCATCATGTGTCAGTCAGGTCCATATCACAGAGGTATTGCACCTCGGTCACTTACCGCCCAACATGGCACCCAAGGCCACACTTATCGCATTCACTACGTAGAACGTCGTAGTGCCTAAAGACTCCCAATTAGTGAACACCCTCGCATTAGTATCAAAGACTCTGACTTACACCTATTGAGTCATTATGTTGAGCCAAGTTCAATGCTTGGAATCTCACTCACCCCTACATATGAGTGTATTGATAAGATGGCAATGAGATGGTTGCAGAATACTTACTGCATCTGTCAGCGATACCGATGGCATAGTTTCTGTGTCTCACCGGTCAGAAAAATGAAATACAGAGCATATGAGACATACCCAGAATACTGACACTAGTTGTAAGAGATGAGCTATTAGCACAGTGCACAGTTTTTGATCTTGACACATACAGAGAATATGGTATTCCAATATAGCGTATCTAGAACATTTTGAAGTCAGCACAAGTTGCCCACCACACTAAAGCACAACATGAGTACGAACAATCAAATACAGCGCGGTCATGAGAGACCAACGTTGTCTCTGTCATGAATTCAGTGCATGCTCTTGTTTTCTTCTCATACGGGACTCTTGTCACTCACCCAGATGAGCTCAATCTAAGACACCATTCTCAGTGAGATGGCTGCTGCGGCGATAACATCGACGTACCTCTTGTCCGAGTGTTAAGACTGGAAGTATCAATGAGAACATCAGCGATTTTCTGACACTGTCCTGCTCACCCCAATCATATACCACCACGATGGCAGCAGCAACTGCAAAACCGCAAGTCAACGTTGAATCCAGACATCTTGATGCGACAAACCTGCACAATAGTCTACAAAAATTATCTCACTGATATACGGCCAGTAACTGGGATCGTTTGAGACGTAGGTCATGTTCGAGGGATGGGTATGAGCGAGTGGGGAATGTTAGTGTCAGTGTATAACGACAGCGTTCGTGCTAGATATACCACCGTTCAGCGCTTCTATCTCCAAAATCAGTATAATGGAGATGTATATTTGATCCTGCCTCAAGACCCTTGATCAGGTGAAACGGTTCGAAATCAGACAAAAATAAGCCCTAGATAATCAAAGTAGAATTTGATTTACAAACCAGTATTGCGCATGCGACTACTCGGACACCAGAAAAATTCCCGTGGTTAGTGATATCGCAAACTTATTTCCAATGCCATTTTCCAGTATGAAACCATGTGGCCATCGATCTAACCATGATGTGATTGCAATCATGATGAGCATCTGTGTTCTCTTAGCTTCGCTGGCCAAGCTCGAGACTTGCTGTCAGCTGATTGCTTCCTGTAACAAGGTCGCATTCTGTAGTATGGCAAAAGTCAGAGAACAAACACAACAGCGCACTCTATTCGGTGGATCCAATCGCGCACTTGATGCGACGGTAATTCATTGCACTGGCGGATACATCGTGACTCATGCTGTGTGATTGATACCTGTTAAATGTAAGACGCCGTACATACTAGGTCGAAAGAGAAATCGCACATGGGAGACGAGATGCCTGCAACAGGTGACAAAGCCCGATTTCTGATTGTACAGCCTCGGTCAGTGGCCATTGTATTTCAGTGATGTTTGCAGTGCCGACTTCAGCAGGAGCCGGTAAAGGTCGCGAGCTGAAAGCGAGATCCATCAGATAAACCAAGAACGCCATTGTCTGACCTTCATCATGCTCAGCAAGTTCATGGGCAGGCTACGAAAGTCGCATCGTAGTTGGATGCTTGCACGTGCATAGCCATTATACAGACACGCCGTCGCTTTAGAACCCTCATTCCACCTTTACAGAGTGCCAGAGATACAAATCCAAAACAGTCAGATGTCGCAACATGCAGATGGCACCACATCTTCAGGCGACGAAGCGACGGTAACCATCGCGTTCTCTATCTTCGCATAAAAATATTGAGCCTGGATGTTGCAATCACCATGACCTAGAAGACTTGCCATAAAAATGTTGCTGCACCGTATATCCGCCCTTTTGTGGTTCTCTGAGCGCTTCAAATGCACAGATATTGTTAGGTGTTTCCCATGGGTTTTGATGTTGATATTCTGCCGTGAAGCTCGGCTGTTGGAGTCGCTGTCTTGGCTCCAGAATTCCAGTGTAGGTCAATCCTGTGTATGCGCAAATCAGTGACATCGCCGAGTGTTGGATACACGAAACTATGATATACTTACCTGTGGCAACACCAAAGCACAGCGATGAAGCAAGGCTCGCAATGAATGAAAATACTGTCAAGTGTTTGCATTCGCGCACCAAACATAATACACAAGAGGCGGGGTCTGAGATAGCACTTGCTCGCCTCCATGCCATGGACTTGGCGTTTAGATACCCTTCATCGCATAGCCTCGTGACTGCTCAGGCGCTAAGCATTACCGCATCGGGTGGGCGCCAGGGAATGCAAGGAAGTCGAAGGAACAATTCATCGTCGAGTTCGGATCGCAGCTTGCCGATTGAGTTTGAATTCCAAATGGACTTCTAAGGCAGCAGACGGAGGATGTGTCATAGCGCTCGCAACAGCGCACAGTTAGTTGCTGCCAACTATCGCATTCATGTACACTGAACCGTTTTTCGATAGTAAACTGCTCTCCACTCGTTTCTCTCCTGACAGTCCTTTGTTGGGGCTATCTGCTGGGAAGCGCTTGCTTCGCATGAGCGATCATTTGAACTTCGAATTGGCGGTGGATACTTGCACCCGCGTCCTGTACCGCTTTCCGTTACCAAACTTGTTGGACGATACGACTCGGATACGTATGCATGGTACCAGTTCCTGAGGATTAGCCTCCGTGACTCTTTCGTCTTCTTTTCCTTTTTCTACTTCCTTATCGCGCTTCGGCACCATACGTCGTCTCACCGGTGTCTTCTTTCCGTCTCGAATCCTCCGTCATTTTATATTTAGGATCTTGCTCATGTGCAGTGTTACCTCAGCATTCTCCATCACGTCCGCTGAGACTTTGTCTAGCAAACCTCTATCATCGTACATACTTGGACGTTGTACGCGTCTCCCATCATGACATATAGGACCCCAAATTCGACTTAACTTGCGCACAGGAGACATACCCGAGGCGTCTTATAGCTACCGAAACCCACATTCTCGCAATATTCACCTCTCTCACTATAGTCACTGGCAGCTAGCTCGACGAGAGAAGAAACCCTCGTGTAATCATTCCAAACATTCGCTCTCCCATGGGCGGGAATTACCACCACATCACCACCTACTATTGAACTCACCACGAAGGACATTGTCATCTCAATATCTAACGCATTTCACTTTTACGCGACTCTACGACCAGCGCCATCACAGGATAGACTCAAATAAAATCCACTCTAGCTTCACGATGGCAGTCCAGCCTCTTGCACTCTGCACCAAACCCACGCCAGACAACATCGCCCCTTCCGTACACATACGCCCCGCCATCATCTCCTTGCGCGCATTCCCGGAAGGATCCAATGCGATGCGGAGGGTGAATGGGCAGTGTTTCATCAGTGACAAGGAACGGCGCGGGTGTTCACGTGTGGGATGAGAGGGCTCAGAAGGAACGTGAGATATTGTGCTATGAGCGAGGATGCAGTGAGTGTTTCCCTTGTCCTTACATTTCAAAAGCTGATTTGAACAGAGACACGTGTTTCTGAGCAGATCTGCCCATCCGGTCGCACCTAGTAAACTAGCACAAGTGCTGGCGTGTTGGTATGATGATGTGTTGGTATTTTGTTACCAGCAAACTATCAACAGCTCAACTTACCAGCATCAGCATGGCAGGCGCACATAATCCCTCAGATAGCTTGTACGCGTGTGGAGATAACACAGATCTCTCGCCTTGGACAAACCTGAGCTCATTTGTCGACTCACTTCGCCATATTCCTGGAGGAAATATGATGGTTGCTTCCGAGTCTCGATTATAATCATCACGACCGATCTTGCACTTTGGACGGCCTTTCAGCGCATTTTTACTAGTTTAGCAATCAAAGAAACAAAAGGATCGCCTCAGATCGCCATATAGTTGTACAATCAATGCCATCGCTTCTATTTCGCGGACAACAGACACCCGAGATAAACGAACAGATATCGCTAAGTTTTCATTGTACCTTGATGCTCAATACAGGGTACTCATCCAGTTGTACTGCTATCGTACTTGGGCTAACGGAAGGATAAATGCTACTAGTGGTAGTGTCGAGCCCGGCCAGCCAGTCTATTCCAAGGATACATGACACATGAGAGTTGTGCCGTTTTACGTTAGGTGCAACAGTTGGGCCGAGCGCGTCAACGTCAAAGCTCAGGTGAATATGGCGATTAACATAGTCGAGTGCCATCTTGACCACCTTGCAGATGCCTACCGTCACCGAGTCAACACCTGCGCCCGTCCCTATGAAAAACTCAACGCACCAATAAACCTTGGAGATACTACAAGGTTCGCTTTGATTCGTGCGATATATAAATATATCACCGGTTACCAGCACCAGTAAGTCGTTTTCTCTATTAGTCGTCGCAACAGCTCACGTACGAGACATCACGGTACCCTTCAACGTTCCTGCAGAATATCTTCGAATTTCCCCGTTTCCCACATTCTATCAGATACTTCTTTCAAGTGATCATTTGCTTGCTCTAGTAGGACTGTGATCCATGTCTGTATCTCGTTCGGTGCTTTACTCTGATGGTCGTGCTTAGCGAGGGTCCCAATAGAATCTCGCAGTCGATGCCTCATCAGTAGTTTGATAGGTACGCCTACGATTTCCTTATTCTCCACTCATCACTCAGCAGACCCCATGTCCTTGTCAGGCTCATTCGCGAGAGAGACGTACAGTCGAGCCACGAGTCTACGTGATCCATTCATTTCATTCTCCGTGGTCCATCGCATGGAGGAAATCACATCTTAGCGCTGAGCACCGCCGAGTTATCAGCTATCCGGCTTCACGATTCACAGTATCTATATGTCTAGATAGTGGAACACCAACGCGCAGAATAAGCTGTCCAGGCACTTTTCCTGATTCTCGTTATATTTTAACATCAGTCATCAAGGACCAGTTCGGTTGCTAGTCCTTCCGGACAATTTCACCTCACCACGTAGTTCCAGCGCGGGTGCTTCGTTCCAGTAGTGACACAACGAGAAATAGGTTTGCCTGGACCTTTTAAATACACTTCGAAACACAATATATATGTTGAATAAATACCACGACGGATCCTCCACCAAATTTCTCCTCCCTGCAGACCACTCGGCAAGCATTTCCCTACACAGTACTGCTAGTTGATACATGTACATGCTCCTGGAAAACAATTGAATTCATGCTAGTTTCTGCGTCGGAGTATGCCACGAGTTTCGCGCTGTATTCTCGAACGCTCAGGATGAGGCGTGGTCCCAGCACAAACATATGTACAACCAATGAAATTTGAACAGTACCAATGAGTATCTGAGCTCCAATAGAAGTCGAATTCTATAAAACTGATTAACAGTGGTTACATGCAGATGTTGGTGACAGGTCAGCGCACCGAGATTTCTGGAGAGAGATCAGCAAGCTGGATGCAAGAGACACCAACAAAGCTAACATGTGCGAAACTTGAGCAGAAAAATATAACCGCGTTCACATTGCAAGCTCACCTCGCAAAATAAAGAACGTGAGATTGTACCAGCACTCTGAAACAGTCCCCAATGGTCGATCCTGTCGATGGGCCGAGTCGTCGCAGCTCACGGAAGTGTTTCACAGCAATCCAAACTGAAAGACACAATGTGAGGACCTCCCAAACAGTGTTGAGTATCCAAATGATCGAAACCAGAAGCTGGTCGTCCCCTCCATATACATAGCCGCACATATGTATACCAGAGAGTATCGTCTCCTCTGGTGTTTGTCCAATGAGCCGTGTTCTTCAAGTCGACAAGTAAAGCTTACCTGCTACAGTATCGTTGAATCCTATTGCCATAATTACTCCGCAGGCAATGTTTACAGCCAGGAAGATAATGACAAGGAACATAAGCCTCGCTCTAGACCCTTGATACATGGCATGCAACCGAGCAATCATGATGACTTGCATCATGTGTCAGTCAGGTCCATATCACAGAGGTATTGCACCTCGGTCACTTACCGCCCAACATGGCACTCAAGGCCACACTTATCGCATTCACTACGTAGTACGTCATAGTGCCTAAAGACTCCGAATTAGTGAACACCCTCGCATCAGTATCAAAGACTCTGACTTACACCTATTGAGTCATTATGTTGAGCCAAGTTCGATGGTTGGAATCTCACTCACCCCTACATATGAGCGTATTGATTAGATGGCAATGAGATGGTTGCAGAATACTTACTGCATCTGTCAGCGATACCGATGGCATAGTTACTGTGTCTCGCCGGTCAGAAAAATGAAAAACAGCGCATATGAGACATACGCAGAATATTGACACTAGTTGTAAGAGATGAGCTATTAGCACAGTGCACAGTTTTTGATCTTGACACATACAGAGAATATGGTATTCCAATATAGCGTATCTAGAACATTTTGAAGTCAGCACAAGTTGCCCACCACACGAAAGCACAACATGAGTACGAACAATCAAATACAGCGCGGTCATGAGAGACCAACGTTGTCTCTGTCATGAATTCAGTGCATGCTCTTGTTTTCTTCTCATACGGGACTCTTGTCACTCACCCAGATGAGCTCAATCTAAGACACCATTCTCAGTGAGATGGCTGCTGCGGCGATAACATCGACGTACCTCTTGTCCGATCGTTAAGACTGGAAATATCAATGAGAACATCAGCGATTTTCTGACACTGTCCTGCTCACCCCAATCATATACCACCACGATGGCAGCAGCAACTGCAAAACCGCAAGTCAACGTTGGATCCAGACATCTTGATGCGACAAACCTCCATAATAGTTTACAAAAATTGTCGCACTGATAGACGGCCAGTAACTGGGATCGTTTGAGACGTAGGTCATGTTCGAGGGATGGGTATGAGCGAGTGGGGAAGGTTAGTGGTGTATAACGACAGCGTTCGTGCTAGATATACCACTGTCCAGCGTTTCTATCTCCAAAATCAGTATAATGGAGATGCATATTTGATCGTGCCTCAAGACCCTTGCTTGGGTGAAACGGTTCGCAATCAGACAAAAAGAAGCCCTAGATGATCAAAGTAGAATTTGATTTACAAACCAGTATTACGCATGCAACTACTCGGACACCGGAGAAATTCCAGTGGTTAGTGATATCGCAAACTTATTTCCAATGCCATTTTCCGGTATGAAACCATGTGGCCATCGATCTAACCATGATGTGATCGCAATGAGCATCTGTGTTCTCTTAGCTTCGCTGGCCAAGCTCGAGACTTGTTGTCAGCTGATTGCTTCCTGTAACAAGGTCGCATTCTGTAGTATGGCAAAAGTCAGAGAACAAACACAACAACGCACTCTATTCGGTGGATCCGATCGCGCACTTGATGCGATGGTGATTCATTGCACTGGCGGATACATCGTGACTCATGCTGTGTGATTGATACCTGTTAAATGTAAGACGCCATACATACTAGGTCGAAAGAGAAATCGCACATGGGAGACGAGAAGCCTGTAATGGGCACAAAAGCCCGAATTCTGATTGTATACCCTCGGTCCGTGGCCATTGTATTTCAGGGATGTTTTGTAGTGCCGACTTGAGCAGGAGCCGGCAAATGATGCGAGCCAAAAGCGAGGTCCATCAGATGAGCAAAGAACGCCATACCTTCATCATGCTCAACAATTTCATGGACAGGCTACGAAAGTCGCATGGTAGTCTGATGCTTGTACATGCACAGCCATTGTACAAATACACCGTTGCTTCAGAATCCTGGTTCTACCTTCACGAGGTGCCAACAATATTGACAAATTCGAAGTAATCACATGTCGCAATATGCAGGTAGGATCGCATCTTCACGCGATGAAGCGCACGGTAACCATTCCATTCTCCATCATCGCGTGGAAAGCCTCAGCCTGCACTGCAGCTGGATGATGCAATCGCCATAACCTAGAAGACTTGCCATAAAAATGTTGCTGCACCGTATATCCGCCCTTTTTGTGGTTCTCTGAGTGCTTCAAATGTACAGATATTGTTAGGTGTTTCCCATGGGGTTTGATGTTGATATTCTGTCGTTCGAGAAGCTCGGCTGTTGCAGTCGCTGTCTTGGCTCCGGAATTCTAGTATAGGTCCATCCAGTGTTGGCGCAGATCAGTGACATTGAGGGTTGGATACATGAATCTATGATATACTTACCTGTGGCAACACCAAAGCACGGCGATGAATCAAGGCTCACAATGAATGAAAATACTGTCAAGTGTTTGCATTCGCGCACAAAACATAATACACAAGAGGCGGGGTCTCCATGTATTCGCGGCCAGCGTTGAAGCTTGTCTAAACTTTAATCAAAGCTTGCGGCGTAGCTACCTTCGGCGTTTGCGGAGTCAAAAAAATGATTGCGGCTGTTTGGCGGCTGTAATAGAATTGTTGCAGTGCTGATTACACTTGATATCGGACGGAGGATGTATCATGCACGTCATTAATGTCACGGAGAGCGCTCGCAACAGCGTGTCCACTGTCATTCTCACAGTTAGTTGTTGCCAACTATCGCATTCATGTACACTGGACAATTTTTCGATAGTAAATTGCTCTCCATTCGTTTCGGTCTTTTGTGACTTGAACTTCGAAGTTTGCGGGTTTTAATATAATCTCGCTCTGCACTCGAAATTTGGTGAAATTCGGGACATGTGAGTCTTCAATTTTTGGCTCCACCGGCGTGACACCCTTTGCCCTCACTTCATTTCCATCAGAGTCACAGCACCCTAAATAATTATCACACCATGTCAAGGACACACGCGAGGGAAGGGTCAAGGTAAGAGACGTACCGTCGAGTCAGGCCCGACGAGGAGCCAGTATCATGAATCACCTCGCAGATTTCGTGAAAGGTAATACTGCCGCACGCTAGTGGGATTTTGGTGAGTGCGACCTTGACTTGACGTTTGATTTGACTTGGAATAAATTTGTGTAGAATCACATTGTCTGCCTGGCGTTGGCTTGGATGGCGGATCAACGCGTCTACATCGCTAAGAAGTCCCAGTGAAGCTGTATGAAGGCCATAAGTGAGCTAACGTGTTTCTTCCTGCGTGTGGCGCATGTTTTAAGCGCCCATAAGGTCAGGATGCATGGAGAACAATACACATGTTTTTTTTTTGGAAAAGTTTAATAATGGGGATGGATGTCGACGATCGTCCCAAGTTGTTAGATCATTGAGGGTAATGAGTACTTGCGGTTATGGACCGCTGCATCATCCTGCAAGTCATCTGCACGACTCCGACATACGTGCGGGTCACGGCCCGGGTGATGGTCCTCCCTTTATTTCTTTATTTCCATTATCTCATCATTACTACGGGAGACAACCTTTGTTACAAGTCCTCCCTTTGTTTCTCTAGTGCCTCCAGAAATGTATATATAAGCTAAATGAAAATCAGCTTCAAATAAGCTCAGAGTCTCGCTTTGCCAGTCTCTTGGCACCGCTCGCTTGCTTTCCTAACGCTTTGACACTGGCACTATGTATTCACCGGCATGCATAAGTACCGAGTGCGTCAGCCACGACGAATTATGAGCATCATCTATGGTTCATCACCGGGTGCTCTTGTGGCTGAATTCATTGGTACGATATCCATCTTTCTGACCACCGCTGAACATGTTATATAGACTGGGGAGCGCAACATGGTTCTAAGTTCGACGACAAATGGACGGGCAGGCGTCATTATTTATTTCAATCAGTGAGATATAACAATTACACGAACTTGTGAGTGATACACATTATCACAAGATATATCATAACTGAGGGTAAAGTAACATCGGTAGATCAAGCTCAAAGTATCAATCGTCAACGATTCAAGTAGAGTGTTTTCGTTTTGCCAGTCTTCCTTTGGTTGTAAACTGTGGGGAAGGCAGGTGATTGGCATGTTTACCTGCTTGCTCGACTTCTGCAGGAGGGGCAGCTGCCCCGTTCTTCTCCTCATGGCCTATATGTCGTGGCTGAAGTTGACGGCGTCTCAACTCCCTATGAGAGTTCCTGATAGTCGTCGTCAGCTGAGTTGGACAAGCAAAATGCGAACGAGAACTCACGGTGCGTCTCGTCCGTCAAAAGACAAAGTGGGTGGACCTGTCGGGCCTGTTGATGGTAACCTATCAACGAAGTGGTAAGAAACATGAGTGAGTTAAGGACAGCGGGGCACATACGGTGGTGTCATAGTCCTCAGCACTCGCTCTGTCCGGATCTGATCCTCCTCGCCCTCCTCGTAGATCCAATCTTTTGGCCATTCAGGTGTAATCTCTCTCCAGTACGTGAAGTAGGCCTCCAATCTCACACGGCGTCCCTGCTCGACACGCAAGACGTCCCGCACTTTCCTCGCCTGCTCTTTCAGCCCCACCGCTCTCTGGCGGAGAGCGGCGGCCTGGACGAGAATGCGTTGATCGTCGGCCGTGATCTGTTTCATGATGTCCACAGCCCGGCTGAGCAGTTGTGGTTCTTCGGGAGGAGGTGTTCCTGCACGCGAGCTGACAGGGGATCGCTGTCGACTGGGACTTGCGTAGGATAGGTAGGAACCACCCGAATCACTGGAGTCATCATCCGCAGCTGGGTTGGGACTTGCCACTAGCGGAGAAAGACTTGGCGATTTTCCCGTTAGATTGTCGGTAGAGATGATACCAGTATGTCTGGTTGCTTTTGTAGGAGTCTTGTTTTCTTCTGCCAGAATCAGGATGGGTGTAGGGGCATCTTCCTTGATGATGGGAGGATCAACTGGTAAAAGGTTAGGTCTCTTGTACTGCGATGTGAGGTACGACACTCACAACTTGCAACCATAGGTAAATCTATGGTTCGTGTTGAAGGACCGGCAGCTGGACACCCCTCCTCCATCGTTCTTGACTTTTTTCTCGGTGGCTCTTGGCTCTCTTCATCCTGACTGGACGACCGTTAGGACTATTATAGCATCGAAGATGAAGTAGGGCACGTACAGTAGGGGAACAACCTTGCTGAGTCTGACTAACTCTCTAATGATTACCGTGCTCTTCATGTTTGCTTTTACTCCATGAGCCTGTTGTCATGTCAGTGACTAGCACTGAGGACAAGAAACGCGAGACACACCTTAGCTACCTTCTGTAGCTGTGCACGAGATAGCTTGCCGAGTGTGGTTTCATCCATGAAGAGTTCTCCTTGACTTGGAGCTGGGATTAGGTTGTTAGATGAGTGGGCACCATGCGGAAGGATTCCTCCGTTCATTCTGCGCGGTGTAGTTTTTTAAACGCGAGTACTGTAATGAAAAAATGTGGTACTGAGTCAAGTTGGGATCTGCTTAAGGAGGTTGGAATAAAATGACGATGAGGAACTGTAGTGCTTTAAATTTGTTTGTGTATTGTGGCTTCTGTGGATACATCCACAGCTTGAATGCACGATGCATGCTTGTACCCAGAGAACAATAGATCGAATCATAAAAGTCCGCGGTCAAAGCAAGGGTCCGGACTCCGGGTCCCGGGAGCACCTTCGTTGATGGGATCGATTTGGGAGTATTGATGTTTGTTTGTTGGACTGACGTCTTGCTGGCCGCATTCGAATTTCTACATGATGATGAGAGTACCTTTGCAATTGTTGATTGCGCAACGTAAAGTAGTACTGTGAGTCTACTGTTGGGAGGCAAAGGATTCAGATATGGGTGAGGGAGGACACGGTGAGTATTATCTATTCTTTTGACTTTATATTTTTGATTCCAAGATATCAAAAGCGCATACTTTCGAACTGATTCGATCATACACGAGGATAAACTAGTCTTGTATACTACGATGGGGTGCCAGGCTAGATAAATCGACGATCACTCGCCCAAACTAACCCCCGAATCCCTACTTTGAAAGGTAGCCACATCCAAACCCACACACTTCGCAAGATCGATGCCCTCGCAATCTCAGTCACCTTGGTTCCTCGGAAGACTCCTATCCAAATTCAACGGCGCTTTCCTCACCATAGTCTATAGGTGGCATTTACGACGTGACACCATGCGACAGACATCTCCGCGTGTCCTGCTCGCGAATGCGTAATATCAAGCCTTTTCTGCAGATCAGAACCCTGGTGGGAGGATTGGAGTCACGCACGCTCGAGGGCGCCGGTAGGTATGGGGAGATGTGCAAAAAAGGGATATAAAAGTGGTAGGTTCCACGTCGATTAGCCTTGACCGCAAACCTCTAAGCAAAATTTACAGTAGTATTGACTCTCCACTCGTACATGGGATTAGTACTCGTACCTGAGGTAGCGATCACTCCTGCATGTATGTACATTCGAGGACTTCCGCTCCAACGAAGTTGCTAGACTTTCAAATGTCTCCTCTCGAAATTGGCGCCCATGACGACCAACTCCATAACTCGCTTATCGTCCTCGACGACCACTTTCTCTGTCAATAGCTTGGCATCTCTGAATTGTGCTAATCTATTGCACGGAGTCGCATTTCACGTTTTGCATCCAATCTAACCAAGACTGCTAGCAGCGATAAAGCTTCGCGGTAATCGTTAACGTTGCTGGAAGAGGGCCCATCCATCAAGAATAAAACTGAAGGTGATCATAGTGCTATTGATACAAACGCAATGTTTCCACGGAAGTTAGAATTCAGATATCAGGCACTCGACGTCGATATGAATGCACTGCATGATGAATTACATAAAGTGTAATACACACGAGGAAGGATGTATATAAGATGTGGCGTACGTATGCCTATCAATCGGGTAGTCGTTATCTCTTCCTTCATCACCTCCTGGTAAGATATAAACACTCGATCCCACACGAATGAATTGACGATAGATTTTAGCAGAGAAAGTGCTGGAGCTCTCGAACGAGTCAGACTTCACCGCCATCGTCAGGTCAATACACACAAGGAGCCTTCCCGAACCCAGCCTCGTAATCGCGCTAGTACTTGTCAACCTCGCCGGAACTTCAAGAGATCAGTTATGGCTTCTAGCTCGACACACCCCGTCAAAGCAACGAACGAACCGATCCTGACACCGGTCATGACGTTGCAGGGTCATAAACTTCCGAAAGACGGGCGATTCATTAATGGCGTCATGCACCATGTTTCATCCATTTCCTACCTTCCGGATGGTCAGCAAATGATTAGTGGATCTTTGGATATGACTGCTCGGAAATGGGATCTACAGGTGGGTAAAGAGATTGAGAGGGTGCGGAATGTTTGTGAGGGGGAAGTACATGCGGTGGGGGTGTCAAGGGATGGTCGATGGGTCGTCACTGCTGGTGGACAAAATAACGATTCGCATCAATTTGGGGA